ATCCGTAAAGGTGTGCACGATGAGTTATATTTTGATTTCAATATTTCAATATTTCAATATTGCAATGCCCAAACAGCTAAAAATTAACAATTCGTTAATGGTTTCATTGCAGACTTATTATAAACTTGTTAATGGTATAATTTTTCTTTTATGATGTTCGTAAAATATTGGCCATATTTTTTGTTTATTTAAACAACATAAACGACTGGGAATTCTTGTATTGTGTATTTCGAATTCAATGCGCATTGATCTCTATCTTTTGTTAATCTGCAGATTAATTTAATCTTTATCTGATATGCTGAATGGTAATCCTATACCTAAAGGAATAACTGAAATGAAGAGATTAAGCATTGATCCTCAAATTCAAAGTGTCCAGAGCAGATATCGAGATCAAGTGATCGAGTTAATGAGTATCCAATACAAAAATTCCCAGACAAAAATGTTGGCATCATAAACCTTCGACTTCAACGCTCAGACTGTTTATTTTCGCCTCGACGGCTTAATTTTTTAGATTTTAATTGCGTCAGTATTTCCATTAATGATAAAAAAATTCTTATTGGTGGGATTCACGACTTTATACATCTAAATTTTAGACAGTGGAAACCAAGCTCGGTATCTGAAGCCAAGTCCCAAAAGTTCAAAATTTGCATAATCCGAACCAGTACAAGGATTGCCTGATTTAGCGTTTAATTAATATTGCCAGTATGTCTGTATGCTGTATCCAGTATATGGTTACCCAACGCGTTTTAAGCAACCGAATTAGGCGGGCGTAACTTTAGTCCAGTGCTATCTCATTTAAAAATTTCACCCTCTGGATACTTTTTTTTTGCGCTTTTTTCATCATGGTTTAGTCGTTCTCCAGCACTAGCTGTAGGATTCAAGAAGATTTAGCAGAAAAAAATATTGGATGAAGGACGAAGGTCGAGTATGATTTATTGGAACTATATCATTCGATCAAATAATAGGATTTAAAGGGACTGTGGTTGAAATTTCATTTGATCTTTCATTTTAAAAGGGTCATAATCTCATTCTCAACTTTGTACCTGTTAAACAATTTCATGATCATTATTATGGAAAATATAATCGTTTTTCTAGTTTGTAAAGTTTGTGAATTTCCTCCTTTTATAGAAAACCTACGATTAAAAATTAAAAACTTTCAAAGATCTGGAGATTGATATTGTTGATTAGGCAAAGCTTTGTGAATTTGACATGGTACTCTTTAGGTTGTCAGTCACTTAAAATTTCACCAATTCACAAAGAAGTGAGTCGGGGCCGACTTTAAAGTGTTGTCGGGCTGGGTAGCCGTGCTGTACCACAACTAGGATTTTAAAGATGTATTTTGTAGAACTTCTTAGTAATTATACACCGTACAAACGCCTTATAGGTCTTAAAATAATTCTTAAAAAAATTATCACAAAACTGCATTCTCAGCTCAACTACCATTACTAGTCAGACACTCCCTTTAAACATTTTTGCCGACCTGAACACGAGACTTCCAATATTGTAAAGAACTAACTTCTTATGTTGGTTCTGAAGGCCTTGTTATCGGATGAACATAAAACTTTTTATTCGAATCTGTTTTATGCTGCAGTATGCTCTCTAATTCAGAGGATAAACTAAATTATCGTTGATGAATATGAAGATAATATAGCATCTGGGGAATTGAAAGAATTACCTACGATCTCGTGCAGGGACTTTAGCAAATGTAAAAAGTTAAACATTCTGAAGGTATTGGTGTTTTGTGACGAGTTTGGTGTACTTGTGATTTGGTCATCTTCAATCTAGTATTTTTTTATAGATCAAAGACAAAAACACGTTTATGGTAATTGGTAAATAAATCTTTAAGATTTTGAATTTTGAATGAGTTTAAAGTCTTTTGATAATTTTATTATCGAGTAAAAAAACTGTTCGAGACCTTTTATAAAATTCAACCATACTTAAAATAGTAAAATAAAGGTAGCAACTTTTTTTTTCATCCTCACCATCCCTCCCACGGTGGGGTATTTTAGAGGAGGGGGAGGGGTGCCTGGTTTTTGTCACAATACTCCTCTTAAAATGCATTTGTCTTGTGTTTCATGATGAGAATAAACAAAATGAATATATATAAATTTCATTTACAAACATTGTATCAATTGTAGCTAGGATTCATTTATAATGACTTCAATTTATGACTACTTTTCTCGTTCATATATCTATCCTTAAATGAATCCTGTAAACCTGCGATATATTTAGATGTCGTCTTTGTTACAGTGAGCTTTTTCGGAAGAAAACATATATTTTATAGTAAAAGTACAAGAAAGCACAGAGGTTTCGGAAAAATCTAAATAAAACTGATTCTAACAGTCATATAGAAAAGACTTTGGGGCGTCGACAGCACGCCAAAGCCTTGATTTTGATTTATTCAGAGTAGCGTGTTGAAAAATCCTTTTCTAAGATTTTCAATGAAATAGGGGCTTTTCGGTAGAAATTTTTAACTAAACATTGCATTAAAACAAATAAGTGACTTCACTCAAGCCTTATTTGACATAAATAGGAGGTTTATGGAATAAACTCATTTTGAATGGTGCACATACCCTAGGATCAATCTCAAACCAGAATAGTAATGAATATCCTTACTTCTTCAGAACAATAGCGGAGAACAAACAATATAAGTAAGTTCTAATTTTTTTAATAGTTAATGGGACTTTCGACGTAATTTCAGGTTTAAACATAGATCTGAGCAATAATGAGGAAGATTTGGTCGTTTCTCTTTCTTTAAAAGAGTTAAATTTTGACAATTTTCTTCTTTGTTTCTGTGGCATGAATCCGTAAGTCATTTTCTTGAGAAACCAGTGAGAAAAAGAATGTTCAAATTGGAAACCGTTATGAATACATTCAGCACAAGTAAGGTTTGATATTAATCTATTGCTGAAGACTTACAGTACAAAAGTTTTAACAATAGTTTAAGAAATAAAATAGAACTTGAAATAAAGGATAAATTTACATAGAAAATTCAAAATTCATATCGATAATATTTCAGAACTTTTGAACCCCTTCTAAAACCTGACTTAGTTTGATTGTTACTTTACGACCTTTAAACATGAAAAAACTTTAAATTGGATAGATGACTTGTAAAATCATGACAGTGTTAATTGCAACTTCATTTTAAATCGGTCTTATGTGGACATACCATTGATGTATTTAGACAAAGTTTTCAATTTAAAGAAATTGACTTAAAAATCAAAATGCTCGAACTCTAATTACATATTAGTGTTGACCTCTAATTTTACATATTTTGCATATTCAATTTTATTATTCAGATAGATTTATGGATAAATAAATAGATAAATAGATAAATTTGCAATTTATCTTTAATTTAAAAAAAAAATCCATACCCAATATTTAAAAAATGTCGGAACTATTTATTTTTAAGTCTTCTCTGAAATTACACGAAAAAGTAGGAGAATAAAAAAAGAAAGATCTTATCCAATTAGACCAATTAGACCAATAAGACCAAATAGACGTGGTAATTTTCTAACGAGCCTTTTTTATCTGTTTACATAAATCCTATTCATGCATAATAGAATATTTCAAGAACAGACAAGACTGTGTTAAGGTTCCTGGTATCACATCCTTAATTAATTTGGTTAACGAGTTAGCTTTGTAACAGACAAACTATGTTAGAACGTAGAAGATGCTACACTGTAAATATTAATAGTTGTATTCTATACAATATTGAATAAAGGGTGATTTCTTATTAGAGAACGGTTTTTGCCCCCCCCCCCCCTCCCTCCTATCAATTTTGTACATGCATCTTATATTGAACACATGGAAAAAGTTGATCATGTGGCCGCAGCGCCCGGCCCTCTAGCCTGTCCTAGCCGCAGCGCTCGGCCCCCCTAGCCTGTTCTAGCCGCAGCGCCCGGCCCCCTAGCCAGTCCTAGCCGCAGCGTCCGGCCCCCTAGCCTGTCCCAGTCGCAGCGCTCCGCCCCCTAGCCTGTCCTAGCCGCAGCGCTTGGCCCCAGAATGTATCATAACATGCCCTTAACCGAATCCTAAATATATCCTAATTTTATTGAAAATTGTTGAAATTGAAGGTCTGTCCTGGTCGCAGCGCTCGCCCCCTAGCCGCAGTGCTCGGCCCAGAAATTACCCTAACCCTAAACCCTGGTCCAAAAATAGTTTACTAGGAGGACCCGAATAAAGCACTCAAACATATTTTTTATGAACTTTTCCGGTTTACCGCAAGCAAATCAAAACCATTGTTTTAAAAAAATTTTGAAAAAAGGGGAATTTTATCAAAATAGACAATAAAAAAGCAATCAACATTTTTTTTAATCTTTCTGGTTTACCAAAAGCAAATTAAAACTATTTTTTTTTATTTTGAAAAAAAACTCATTTTATCAAATTACACAATAAAAAAGCCCTTACGTTTAGATTTTCATAGTGGATTGAAAACTCAAAATTTACAGTGTAAATACCATACCAAACTATAGTTTATAACTAAGCAAACTCATAGAAGCTACACACATGCACTTTTTATTCTTTCATAATTTTCTTTCTCATCATATTTATGAGTTACTAGCTTGGGAACCAAGCTTTGTCTGAGATTACCCTGTAAAAGTCGACTAACCAATTTAGAACTTATAAACTATTTTTTGAAAAAACGTTATTAAACATTTCTCTGGTTCTATCAAGTGTCTTTATTATATACGGTTATCATAAGGTATTGTATATATAGATTTATAATTCGGTGTGAATAGATGGATATACTTAGGTATTTATGTTTGGTTATTGATAACTTTATTTATATGAATATATATAGGTGTACGTATTTATAGATAGGTGTACGTTTAGATCTGTTTAGATATGTATGAATGGATATAGATACAGGGTGTCCCACGAAACATGACAGTATGCAGGACGACTTAAATGTCGTCTTGATTTTTGATATAATTTGCTGCGTTTATTTGTCAACCTGATATGTATATATGGATATGGATATGTTTAGATATGTATATATGGATACCCTCGGAAAACTAAAATGGAAAAAGGTTGGAGCACTGACTGAAGATGGACAGAAGTATTCGGATTATATCTCAGACATGCAGGTATACCTTTTAACAACCCTCATCATCCGGATCCGGATCTAAGGGGCACAAATATAACAAAAATGTTTTTAAAAATTTCTCTAAAACCAGATGAAAAAATGAGAGATTGTTGAAAATTTTGTTAACTCTAAACGGTTCATCAAGTTTTAGCCTAAAAATAAACGAAAAGAAGAAGTAGGGCAGTTTTATTATTTTTTTGGTTAAAAATCTGTTAGTTTTAAAGAAATGTTCATGACCTGGACCCTTCACCCTTCTCCTTCACACTTTATTAATGATTTGAGAAGTTGTAAAAAATTCCTTTATTCAAGTTAATAATTTAAATAAAATGAAGAACTGTAAAGAGTTTTGTAAATCCTAGGATCATAATTAGGATTTGTCCCTTCAATTTCTATGTTTTTGTTCTAGGATGATTTCCAGAAGAAAGGAATTAATTTCGTGATAAACCGGAAGTTCCCCCGGGATGTTACAAACATGGAGATGGTAGGAAAATATTATTATTCATTGCAAGCTACACAGTTATGAAAATAAGTCACAAACTATTGAAACCTGGCCGACTAGGTTTCAGGTTTCCTTTATTGACGGATTTCCATCTTTTTTATCCAACATTTTTTATTTTCAAAATTGCTAAAATTATAATATAATTTTTGTTGTCCTTATCATAATTTATCACAATTAGAATAATTATTAATATTACTTAATTTATACTTATTATATCATTAACTTGAATATGATTATTGTTACCATTAGCTGTTGTGTTTACTATTTATATATATTTAAAGTACTTCTATATTTACAGTTATTTTTTTAATGAATTTTTAATGAATGATTATACAAACACCAGGATTTTTATCCATATCATGTACAGAGGGATTAGTAAAGTACAAAGAAAGTATATATATAGATATATTAATAAAAACCTGAACACAAGGTTACTCATAAAGATGCATAAAGTAAATATATAGATATATTAATAAAAACCTGAATAGAGGGTTACTCACAAAGATGTATAAAGTAAATATATATAGATATATTAATAAAAACCTGAATTCAGGGTTACTCACAAAGATATATAAAGTAAATATATAGATATATTAATAAAAACCTGAATACACGGTTACTCACAAAGATGCATAAAGTTAATATATAGATATATTAATAAAAACTTGAATACAGAGTTACTCACAAGGATGAATAAACTTAATATATAGATATAATAGATAGGATGAGACTTCTTTTCTTAGATTAATGATGATAATAATAATAACAAATTTACCGAAATTTAACCCTATCCCGGTTGGGCTTTTTTGATCGATATAGCCCCCCCCCCCCATGAATAAGATCTCAATCTTCAATGGATATGGTATTAGGGAGGTTTTAAAAAAATTTAAAAAGTACGTCAGAGAAATGTTTTTAAATATTTATCTTTATCTTTGACAAATATTTACATACGACACTTATTTTTAAATCTCTTTTTAAAGGGCCTTTCAAATAAGAAAATTTGAGTTCTTAAGCTCAAATAATAACAAAGTTCTGGAATATTTTACATTTATTTTGAAACACCGACCTCTGCGCCACAAACTGCCTGAGGGAGAGCACCAGGAGGATTTTAAAGATCAATCTTACGCTCTTACTTAGCAACCGTACACCGTACAAACGTCTTATAAAGGTCTCAAATGATTTCTTTAAAATGTTTCTAATACTGCGCTCTCAGCTCTACTACCATGTCTAGTCCACACTGAACTAACCACAGAGAGAAGCATCCTGTCTCTTTTATTTGATTTGAAACGCGTTTTTGTCTGTATCTCAACAATCTTTAAACTTTTAGATTTGTTCATTTTATATATTTTTATTCAAAATATATATACCAAAAAAAGTTATTTTAGAAAAAAGGCTATAAAGTTATGTATTAAGGGTCAAATTGTGATCGGAAGTCACAGCTTTCTGAAATATTGACAGAACCGTTAAATCCACGTGAGCCAGACACTTCCTTTAAGTCGCATACGTTGTGAGTAACCTCGTATAATTCAAGGCAATTTCACACACAACCGGTGCCATTTGAATATCCGAGCTGGGTCAACCTTTGCTGTCCTAGTTAGGACTGTACCGCCAATTTACAATTACTAAAGCGGCTGAGCTGTGTGATTTTCTTATACCTACTATACCTACTATATCAAGACAATTGTTTTAACTGTTATTTTCGTTCTCTCATGATTGATATATATTAGAATGTTATGGGATTAATATATTTATATTCACAATGGTATTCTAAGTAACAATGATATCTTCGTTTACTGTCTTAAATGAGATCAATTCTGTTAATTTCTCTCCTTGTCTCCTCTACATAAATTTGCGAGCAGCTATTTAAAAAACCACAATTAAAAATTACCATTATATTCCTGGTGTCACATATTCTGAATATTTCTAAAAAAGTCGATAAATAGAATAATTTATGTAAGTACAGATTACAGGAAGAGTACGCGTAAACATCTAAATCTTTTCGTGCATTTCCGTTGAAAACTGTTTTTTTTTCTGTCATAAAATTAAACTAATATTTGTTGTATGTTTAGTATTTAACTGATCTGAAGGAGAGAGGAGCTAAAGTTATAATTGGAGATTTTTATGTTTCTTCAGGTTGGTTTGTTTTTTAAACTCTGTAAAAACATTCAAAAGTTTGGATTTCATTTAAAACACAAACCTTGCTTCTTTAAAAAGTACATGGTTGTTTGACTTATCCACAGACTAGATATACACAGACTGATCATAAGCTCTCACTGGATAGGTTAAGCAGGACTTAATTGTCCAGACATGAAGATATTTATTGATGACCAAGGTTATATACGTACAGATCTATACAAGAAGGAAAACAAGAAGAATAACTATCTTCTTCCTTCCAGCTGTCATCCTAACCATATAACTAAGAATATACCGTTCTCACTTTTTGTTTATTTTAGTTGCTGTGTTTGTATTTTTTATTTTTATTTTTTGCTTATATCTGTTATATTATAGGACAAACTCCTGATGATGCCAAAGTTTTTGGCGAAATATATTGAGAAGAAAATGATATAATTCTAGTGCTAGAGAGTAGGGTTGGGATTTGTTTAAAAACGATCTAAAGTAAAGATTGTCCAGACACGACAATGAAAATGCGTTTTAAAACTTTTTTTTATTAAACACGTTTTTTTTCATTTTGAAAATCTGTCATTCTTATATTCATGAACCGATTATTCCTTCCTCCCAAGGAATTTGAGGCTCAGCGAGCCATAAACTCCATTATCTATAATTTATCTTGAGCCAAGTTCCAATCTTGTCGAGATTAACTAGTTTATTCGTTCTACACTAATCCTTTTTATGTTGACAATATAGACATTATAGAATCCCATTCCCCAGACTGTATTCTCGAATCTTTATCATTATATTATCATCAGTTACAACGAGACCCTTTAAACTATGGAATATAGGGAGATGACTGTTCACTGTGAGCTTGTTAAAACGTGTTTTGTCGACTGTACACTGGGTAGTCAAGACTGGACAGTACGACTTAATGTAAATACGTTGTACTGGCTCGGATCATGTTACTTTAAAGTTTTAGAATCAAGTTTTAGAATCAAGTTTTAGAATCAAGTTTTAGAATTAAGTTTTAGAATCAATTTTTAAAATCAAGTTATAGAATCAAGTTTTAGAATAAAGGGATCCAATTGTTAAGTAAATCAGTAATTAGTAAAACAGTAAATCAACACTGAGTTTTAAAAATAGACACAGATTGATGACCGGATTTTTAGGATCCCGGCCGATAACGAGAGGTAAAGTCGAAAATTAAAACTTTAACCAACATTTTATTTACCACGACAAAGACAATAATTCCAAATTTAAAACTATTTTCTGAAATCAAAATTATAAGAGGAGTTCTTTTTATGAAAAAAAACTCTTGACCGTTTTCAAGACAATGGCAGGCATTTTCGAACGCATCTTGAATTTGAATCATGTCGCGTTTCCGAGACAACCCGCCTTTGAGTATTTTTGAGTATAATCCACAATTTAAAACAAAACTCACTTTCATACCTTACAAAATAAATCACTGAAAGAAAAAATTATCTTATAAAAACTACATTAACTGCTAATTAACATCTTGTTTTGTTACTTAAGTGCGTAAATGCTTGAAAACTTACATTGATTTGAATTCAAGTAATTGTCTCAAAACTAGGATATGTTCCGAAAACGCCACATGAACTGAAAGGCGGTAATTTTTTCAAACTAGGAAATAAAAATATGCATTTTGATCCTGAGAACTGCAAATTAAAAATTGGAAGTGAGATACTAGAAAGAATCGGAACTGACTGTACAAATAAATATTTCAAATTTGTTGGACTCAAAATTGATGAATTTTTAAATTGGGACTATCAAATTGAACATGTTTCCAATAAGATTGCTAGCTCAATTTTTGCTCTGAATCAGATTAAAAACATTTTACCGTTAAACATTCGTCTACTAGTCTATAATGCACTTGTAAGGCCACATATTGAGTATGGAATTATAACATGGGGGGGCGTAAAAAATGCTAAACTACAGAAAATCAAGTCTTTGCAAAAAAGGGCAATTAGAGCAGTAAATAATAGTTCATTTAAGGCACATTCAGATCCAATATTTTTCAGATTAGAACTCCTAAATCTTGATGATACATATAAACTAGGTGTTCTATCTTTTATGCATAAATACTTTTATGAAAACCTTCCAGCTTCCTTCCAGAATATGTTTAATTCTTTAGCTGAACCAAATAGAACAAAATCATATAAACTTGAACGAGTTCTCTTTAAAACCCTAAAATGTTTTCCCTCTGCCTTATTTCCAAAAATATGGAATTCGATTGAATTAGAGCTTAAAGAAACTAAATCTGCAAAATCGTTTAAAAGAAAAGTCGCCAAGATCTATTTAGATAGTTATGCAAATTATATCTGAAAAAAAAAAACTGTGTATCATGTGGATAAACTTAGTCTTTACTATCTTCTTCACCCTCTAGTTCATAAACATGATTCTAATAACTTATGTTACCCTCTGTTCCAACCCTTACGCTGAGTATCCTCCCTTTTCTTTATACTCCCTCACCTCCTCCTTACCTTTTACCTGATTTATTATCATTCTTATGTTTAAAATGTACAATGTACATTGTTTTTATCTGTAATTCTCATTCGTTTATAGTGGGCCAACCAATTAAAACAACCTACTCTGACTTTAAGCAATTGATGTTTATTTATATGTTAATATTAATTATTAACATTAACATTTTTATGTTAATATTAACATTAATTAAATTTATTAAATCTTCAATGGTCTCATATAGAGCCTCTAATGGTTAGGCGGGTCCAAACTACATAGTAAATTGTGATTTTTTATTTGTATTATCTCGTGCTTTGTAGTTGAATAAAAATATGAAATATGAAGAATCATCAAAAACTAATTCTCACACCTTATTATTGGTTTAAAGTTGGCATTTCTTGTTTCAATAATTAGCTTTTGCCATTTTCAATAAATGTATGGTGTAATTTTTGGGGCTAATTTTTTGTAATTTTATTTTTCTTGAGTAAACTTTCTTATTTTAATATTAACAATCACGCATAGTTTGGGTTATACAATTTTTTTTTATTTCGTGAGAACTAGCAAATTATAAGTATAAATTTTACTTTATAGCAAAGAACGTTATACCATCTTTTGGTTTTGAGTAAAAAAATTTTAGGAATTATATTTTGTCCCACTTTTTTAATGACCCTCAAATCTATTTATATATCTATTCTTATATCATAACTTTTAAAAAAAACTGTTTGCTATGTTTGCATCTTTACCAAGTTCTATTGTTAAATAAGTATTTGATGAGAATATTAGTATTCTGTATATAATATCAAATAACGCTCACCAATGTCAGTCTGTGTGTGTTGTGGTGAATATTATTACTTGTAAATAATACAAACAAAACAAATATAATAAAAATATCGGTAATGGGGTACTATATGGCTACTAAGACACACTACTTGGGGACGCCGACTAGAGAGGGAGTGGGGGGGGGTTGACTCCGGGGGATCAGCTGATTTGTAGAGGGGGGGGGGGCGATTCCTCCGAGTAGACTACACGGAGGTAGTCAAACGCGGGAAAACAACTAATATGGACATGAAGATGATTATGGAAATGGGGGACCAGGAAATAGTCCAGTGGTTGCAGAATGAAGGATTATTAAAACAGCTTTTAATACATTTTTTTAACGTTAATATTTTTATTTATATTTAAAGTACATAGAGAGAAAGAGAGAGAAACAGAAAAATAGATAGACAGAGAGATAGCAAGTTAAAAAATTGTTTTATATGTGTACCGTGTATCATGTATGTGTATTCTGTAACCCCAATAAGCTGATCTCTCCCCCCTCCTATCCCCTCCTATAGTCAGCAGATCTAACCCTGCTCCAAATTAGGTAGCCATATAGTACCCCATTACCAAAATATCTAATAATACAGAAAATACAATAGATAAAGAGTGCATTTTATATTGTCCTTTTTGTTAATATTTAAACCAGGACGAGCGTATGAGGGGGCTTTTACAACTTTGTATAATGGGCGGAATTTTGGTAACTAATAATTTGGTAACTAACATTTTGGTAAATAACAATTTGGTAACTAATAATTTGGTTACTAACAATTTGGTAACTAACATTAATTTTGATAACTAATAATTTGTTAACTAACATTTTGGTAAATAACAATTTGGTAACTAATAATTTGGTAACTAACAATTTGGCAACTAACAATTTAGTAACTTGACAATTTAATAATTTTAATTTTGATAACTAATAATTTGTTAACTAACATTTTGGTAAATAACAATTTGGTAACTAATAATTTGGTAACTAACAATTTGGCAACTAACAATTTAGTAACTTGACAATTTAATAATTGACAATTTGGAAACTAATAATTTGGTGACCTCACAATTTGGTAACTTGACATTTTGATTAGGTTTGGTTAAGACGATTTCTGGGCCGAGTGCTGCGGCTAGGACAGGCTAGGGGGCCGAACACTGCGGCACTATTTACAAACTAATAGATTGATAGCCGATATGTGGGATTATGTTAAGTTAAGACAATTTCTGGGTAGAGCGTTGTGGTTAGGACAGGCTAGCAGGTCGAGTTTACAAATAGATTTCGTGGATTTGTCATGATAAACTTTTAAGAAATCCTGCATATTGTTATTTTCTCTCTATGTATTTAACAAATAAATGTTCTAACAATGATTTTGAAACATAAGTTTTAATTAAACAAATTGTTTGTCACCAAATTGTCGGTTACCAAATTGTCAGTTACCAAATTGTCGGTTACCAAATTGTGAGGTTACCAAAATTTCAGGTTTTTTAAGTTTTTAAGTTTTTAAATGTTTAAGTTTTTAAGAATCCAGGGGCAAAACATCACTTATATGCAGTTTAAACATATAAATAAAATATTCTTCTATCGTATGAAACTTCATAATTGATAATTACAAAAAGCAAGAATATAATTTTCATTTAAAACCGTGTGAGTAATTTTATTTGACACCACTAAATTTTTAGTATAGATCCTCTAACCAAGATCATATTATTTTTTTTTAACAATTTATTATTTTAATTTTTATAAATTGGGTTCAGTTTATTGGAAAGGAATTGAGTTTTTGACACAAACCCTTATTTTCGAATCCCTATATCTCTGCAACTTGGTAGTGTAGTCCATTTGATATTTCAATCTCAGATTATTTAATCTAACAGAATTCACAGTTTGAAATATCTAAGGTCTACTACATTAGGCTTTAAAGATATAGGGATTATAAAATCAGAATTTGTGGCAAAGACTCAACTCCTTTATTGTCATAACCACAGACTACACAGACTGCTCATACACTCTACCTGCATAGGCTAAGTAGGCCTATAGTTTCCCGGCACGCCATGCTAATGTTTTTTGACTGGCATCTTACGGCCACTCGTTGAATTCAGGGGTTAAGTTTTACAACTTTTAAAGAAATACTCCAATGTTAAACATAAGAATATTGTCTATTTTTAAAGATTTTGCATTTCCTATTCAAAGGATCCTTAAATATCCCTATATACAGATGTCTCCTGATTGGTCGTGTAAAGTACTTGTACATGCTGTGGAAAATATCGCATATTATAGGTATTAATCGATCTCTGTAACTCTCTTATCTCTCGTCATAACTGACGTCCTTCCCGTTTACAATTTGTAGAGTGTCGTTTGCAGAAACCGAAGAGCCAATCAGAAGCCGGGAAATTTTGGGCGCAACCAATTTGAAAACTCTTTGGGCAAAACTTAGCAGGGATATCCAAAAGAGAGAGAAAAGAGAAAATCAAAAGTGTCCAGACAGTGGATATCGAGATAAAGCAACACAAGAGTTTCCAGAGCTCAATATTAGCGTTCCTTTGAGTTTGCGGTTTTTAGACAATTTATATTTTTCTTAGTTCAATTAACCAAAACCAAAAATCTACATTAATATAATATTGCGTATTTCAGCTCGTCACGTGATGTGTGAAGCGTACAGAATGCAGATGACGCAGAAGGAAGGATATGTTTGGTTTCTCCCAGGCTGGTTTAAAGAGAGATGGTTTGATATTGATCTCCTCAGGTTAGCATTTCCACCACTCCCACTCCACTACTTTTTTATCTTTTTTGTTGTTTTTCCCACGTCTCTCTCCTTTTTACGTAACAACTATATTCATCAAAAATATTCAACATTACATAATATCAAATCTACAAAATAAAAATAAAGCAAAAATAATATGTATAATAGCTCTCAACAATAACATTTTCTGTAGACATCTTCGGAAAACTTTGTTGGATGAGGAAAATGAAAAGTCGAGAAAAACAAAGGTAAAAAAAAACAAAGAAAATCTTTTTATTTCTAGAAATGACGATTAAAGCTTAATTAATGAATGCAAGTGTGTCTGTATAAAGAATGAATATTTCTAGCATATTTCTACCCTAGGTTTTTATTACGAGAAAATCCCTGAGAACTTGCATCAGTCTCTAATTTTCTGATCCCTGTGTAATATTTCAATCTTTGATCTAGTCAGGTTGCAAAATTTAAATAATCGGTTCTTTAGGCCTTTTTTTAAATCCTCTATTTCTAAGACATGCAAAGATTTCTATATAATCGCTACACTAATAAAATCGTTCTTAAATTTAGCTCATGGAAGGGAAGATATTTGTTACAATGATTTGATGGGTTTGTCAAGGTTCTCGGACTTTCAAGTTTAAAAACATTTCTCAAAAATCTGAAATTTTTTTACTTTTTTAAAATATTTTATTCTTAACATTTGCTTTCCTAGCACGATGCCAAATTTTATTCCTGAGTGAAGAAATATGCAAAAACTAACCTTACCCCATCCTTTTTTGTTTTTTTTTAGTTCGCTCCGGGATAAAAAATAAGTTGACATAATTTATATGTTTAAAAACCTTAAACGAACCAAACTATGGCTCATCCCATCATTAAGTTTAGCCTGTGGATAAATTTGAAAACAAATTGATGAGTGGTAATCAAACATCGTTGACCCAAAGGTTAGCATATAAGCTTATGGAGTACCTATCTACCAATCCACGTTTAATTTTTCAAAATCCAAAAATATCTAAATATTTACAGTTTACACCCACAAAAATGTCTGAACCTCTAGGAAGATCATTAAAAAATAACATACACGTCCCACATAAAAATAAACTTAGTTCAAAGTTTAAATGATTTATTTCTTACTTTCTAAGTGTCTTGAATATTTTACAATTCATTTTTATTTCTATTTTCTCCCTCTAATAGTTTTATTCTTTAGTTGGAAATTTAGAACCCAAAGGTTTGGTATTAGCTAACGGGAAATTTGATGAAAAACGCTTTCAGGGTGCTTCGTGCCCATCTTCTATTGAAATTTTAAGCATACATTTATATACATTGTAAAACAAAAACCAAAAAAGTTTGCAGATTTTATAAAAAAAAATTATGAAAATTGATCTTTGTTGGAGGCTAATTTTAAAAAATGTTATCATTCACAAACCTTCATGTGAGGTCCCACACAAAATTTGGGATCGTTCGGTTCAGCCGTTTTGACGTTCATTGGATGCAAACGAACAGACAGACACCCATATACAGTTTGTTTGTCCGATCATGACTCGGATACCTGGACCGATTTGGCTTAAATATTGTTTTGGGAATTCGGGAGACCTGCACGGGAATGTTCTTAGCTTGGTTTCAATATTCTAAGCTGAGTAGGTCGACTTTGATTGCGAAAATTTGTTTTCTGGTAAAATCGTTCAAGTGCGGGTAAACGGCGGGAGTAACCTTGGCAATGCTGGGTTCCCAAGCTAGTATATTTGTTAAGATGGATAAAATTTTATTTTTTTTAAGTTTTCAATTTTATATTTTTATTTTTTATTTTAAAATATATTTTTTATTTTAGGATGACGACAGGAAACTTAAGCTTTAACGTTTATCAAACTCTTTGTTTGTTTTTTTCTATGATGAAATCAAAATTCCAGAGTCAAGAGTTTTAAAAATAATATTTAAATATGTTAAGTTTTGTAATTTTAGTTTTTCGAAAATTTTGGCCAAAATTTTAAAACATTTTCTTGTCTTTGAACGAATATTAAGCTGTGGTGTACAGTGGGCGGAAATTCGGAACAGATCGCTACTTCAGTTGGAACGAAGATATCAGAGTTGGCCATCTTCCTAACTGTACAACAACAGGAATCCATACCATACCATACCATACCGTCCATACCATACCATACCATACCATACATACCATACTATTCCATACCATACCATACCATACCATACCATACCATACCATACCATACCATACCATACCATACCATACCATACCATACCATATCATATCATACCATACCATACCAAACCATACCTTACCATACCATACCATACCATACCATACCATACCATACCATACCATATCATATCATACCATACCATACCAAACCATACCATACCATACCATACCATACCATACCATACCATACCATACCATACCATACCATACAGCGATTTTTCTAGACGGCTCATTTCAGGTGGAGAAGGTAGAAGAATTTGAACCTGGGCAAGAATCTTACTCATCCACCATTGCAAATCTGAAGGTTAGACAGATGATAGATAGATAGATAGAAAAATAGATAGAAAAATAGATAGAAAAATAGATAGATAGATAGATAGATAGATAGATAGATAGATAGATAGATAGAAAGATTTAGAATTGTAGTTTTTTATTTTATATTTAATTAAACTTTTTTTAGGATTGTCAGGCTAGGGTCTACTTCCTCTATGCTACGTAAGTTAAAAATTATCTCTATGCAAAAATCAGTGACACAAAATCAATTGTAAAAAAAGTGTACGTAGTTAAAAAGTGTATACTCATTAAATTTTGTTCAAGATTTTTTTAATAAACTATTGGTGAGCACTTTTAACTTACAAAAGCAATCAATAATGATTTTTATATTTTGAGTTATAAACAGGTGGTTATAAAGTAGATAAATTCAAACTGAAATCACATTAATCTCGCAGCTGTCAATCACGTGGCACAAGATGTCGTCAGAGTTGGGTCGAAGATTGGGTCTTAAATTCGGGTTTAAGGAATAACGACTCGAGCCGAAGTTTTTAAATCGTGGGCTCTGATCATAAAGCAATTGGTCTTAGGGAAATTTAATTCAGGGTGTCACAATAAGCAATAACAATGTTTATTAAGTAACGACTAAAATAACTTTTTGTTGAGATTTAGCATTGTAATAACTACATTCAAAAGTTGTGTCAACATTTTGTCTGCTAGAGTACAGTTTATGTAAACGGAGAAGCATTGATGTCTAATATTTCTGATTTATGAATATTTTATTGATTGATTATACTGGAAGATTCTCATTTTACTACATTACATGATTACAATCAAGGTTGTAATGCAAGGAAAGTTAATTGCTGTCACGTATACTCTGCGTATATATTGAAACCAGTTCTCTCTGGGCGGAATTTTTAAACAAGAATAGATGCATCAGTCTTTGTTTAGTATCCGAGAAGGTTAAAAGCATTAAATTTTGATAATTTTGATAATGCACATAATAGTTTCCTATGACCAGAATATTTCATTGATTTTTTTTATTTAAAAGATGGATCCCATGTCAGGCTTCGACATCCGTCTTGCGTTTACATTACCGCCCAGATACAGTACACTGCAGTACAAAAAATGAAATGAAATAACTTTCCTTACATTATATCCTTGATTACAATGCAATACAATCAAAACACAAACAAATAAAGTATAAACTTTAGTAGACAAAACAGTTCACGAATTTCGTCTTATGATGCTCTAAACCCCACAGAGTAAAAAGTAAGGTGTTAATTCCACATTTTTTGAAAATATATTTCGGTCTGGGTTAACCCTCTTCAGTTCTAACGATATAATTAACAATCAAAGTCAATATTAAAATATGTTAAAAAATCAAAGGAAAATAAACAAAAAACTTTTTTTTTTAAATGGTTTTCAAATGAAAAAAAGAGGAAAAAACTCAGATTATGACATGTAAAATTATTTTGTAAATATTCACTTTTTAAAGAAAAATATAACAATTATTCCTATATTTTTTGGAGACACCAGCTGTACCTTTTTTAAAACACAGCAATAGTTGACCATCCCTGTTGTTGGGGTGGGGTTAAATAGACCAATTGATGCATATGGTCCGAACCGGTACAAGCATTGCACTGGTACATGTCATACTATAACAGTCAGAAAACTCTGGAATAGGAAGTCGACTTTTAGACTCAAGTTATGACTTTAAATATTCCAACTAACACGAGGCACAGCAATTGTGAAGTGTAAACAGAACAATTTCACTTAATAAGTGATATAATAACTTACTAGTAAAGCTATATACTTTGTAACAACATCAAAAGCACTTCAATATTGCTTAAATGTCGTCTTTCTTTTCTACAGTTTTCTGGTTATCACTGTAGTATACTCGTACTGTTTATGCGGGCACTGATGCTGGCAAACAAAGGTGAGTTGACCGTTTCGAGCTGTCTTCTATAAACTCACTGTTTAGGAAACAAGACGCAGAAAAGATATTTGCTGACGCTGCAGAACAAAATATGACGGGGACGGGATATGCGTGGATAGTTACAGAGCAGGTACAGTACAGTACAGTACAGTACAGTACAGTACAGTACAGTACAGTACAGTACAGTACAGTACAGTACAGTACAGTACAGTACAGTACAGTACAGTACAGTACAGTACAGTACAGTACAGTACTATAAAATGTTGCAAAATATTTTCAAAATTATTAATTTTACGATAAACTATAAAATTATATTACAAGAAATAAATCCGTCAATGTTATTGTTGGGACATGGCAAATTTTTGTAAAACTTCACGCCTTGGCTTAGCTTTCGAAAATATTTATACTTATTAAACAATTCTGAAATTTATTTGTCTAAATTTTCAAAGTTGCTTTTAGCTTTTGTTATGAAAAACGTGTATGTCAAATCGAAAAAAAGCGTTGCGTCAAAAATCAAAATGCACAAAAGTTCATAAAAAAAATTTTAATATTTTTTTTAGAGCCTACTACCTCACTAATACATAGTACACTTATGTAAGGTTTAGAATCTTCAAATTTATATTTTCAACAATGAAATATTCAGAGGGGGTTTATTAAATCTGTCATCTTCAAGAAAAACTTCAATTTTTTTAAATATTCAAAATATTCAATTTTAAATATTATGAAATATCAACTATATATGAATGCGTCCAAAAATAATTGATGACTATTGGTTGTATAATATCTGAATGATTTGTTTGGAATTAAATTGATTTTTTTCGATTCGAGTTGACTATTGCAACTTTCTGATTTTGTATGGACGCTACGTTCTTCGGTATGAGTCGTTTTTTAGCAATTTTCTCCTTTTAGACGCAACAGATAGAAATACTATTAGGAGCGATCAAAAGCACTTATTTTTCGCCGTAAGCCTATACGATACCCCATTTAATTTTTCGCGAACACTCCCTTTAAGTTTTAAGAAAAATATATTGAAGTGAACTGAAAAGGAATTTTATTGTAATTTCAAGCCACCCTTTGTCTTTTAAATCACAACAATACAATGAACCTTTATCTGAAGCCGAATTTTAAAAATTTGAGCCGCGGCTCAAATATGGTTGGTTTCACTTAAAATTGTATTCAATTTTTTAAGATTTAAGCCGGCGCTCAATTGAAACCATTTTTATGAGGATTTGAAATGTTTGTGCGAACCCCAAGGAGTTTTAGTAACTGGATATAAAAACTCTAATATCTTAGCCTTTGTTACACCTAGGGTGCCCATGAGCTCTCCAAAACAATTTCAGCCGACTTGGTCCAGCCGTTTGGCTAGCTATGTTAACATTACAAGGTTACATACAAAGGATGAGACTGTAAAGACGACTTTAAACTCTTAAAATATGACGATTTCTAGGTTGAATTAAATCTCCTGAAGTCATGAAAATAAGGAAACAGACAATTTAAATTCCGTACAGTCGTCTCTGAAGTCTCATCCTTTCTGGGTAACCCTGTATAAATGAGTGAAGAGCTTTATTACATAGATTAAATATTGAAACCTTCAAATGTAAAAACTTAAAATGAATGTTGTCTTTCTTATCTCTGTTTTTTATTATCTATAAATGTGTTTACAATGTCTCTTAAATTCCCTAGAGCAAAACTGAACTAAACATCAATTTGTGAAAGTCCAGTTCGGTTTCTAGGACTAGTTCTAGGACATGTTTTACTGCGCAGTGCGCACAAAAAGAATTTACTTTTATCTTATTAAATGTGCATAAAAACGGAAACAATTATATTAAAAATTGATTCTTTTTTATTTTATTAATTTTAAGTTATATAACAGGATTTTATATTATTTGATATCTTCAGAATCATATTGTTTTTTAGATTTGACCGAATTTTCATTGGTTTACTTTTACCAAAGACATATTTTAAAGATATATAGCTTTTATAAGTTGTATTACCTTAAGAAGAATAAATATTTAGTATCTATAAATCTATTTATGTATATTAAGATGATATTTAGTATCTATAAATATACTTAAGTATATAAAGATGATATTTATTATCTATATATCTATTTATGTTTATGAGGATGATATTTAGTATCTAATTATCTATTTATGTATATAAAGATGATATTTAGTATCTATATATCTATTTATGTATATAAAGATTATATTTAGTATCTATAAATCTATTTAAGTATATAAAGATTATATCTAGTATCTCTAAATCTATTTAAGTTCATAATGATGATATTTAGTATCTATAAATCTATTTATGTATATAAAGATGATATTTAAGATCTATACATCTATTTATGTATATATAGATGATATTTAGTATCTATATATCTATTTATGTATATAAAGATGATGTCTAGTATCTCTATATATCTTTATATTTATGTATATAAAGATGATATTTGGTATCTATGAATCTATTTATGTATATAAAGATATTTAGTATCTATAAATCTATTTATGTATATAAAGATGATATTTTGTATCTATATATCTATTTATGTATATACAGATGATATTTAGTATCCATAAATCTTTTTATGCATATAGAGATGATATTTAGAGTCTATATATCTATATATTTATGTATATAGAGATGATATTCAGTATCTATATATATCTTTATATTTATTTATATAAAATTGTAATCCCAATATGTTTTTCTGCTTATTGGATGCCCGATCATAGCTGAATAATCCCTTGACCTATTTGTCTCAAATTTTGATTGTTTTATTGAGGAACTCGGGAGAACCATTGGAATGTTCAGAGCTCATTTTTGATAATCTAAGTAGATTGGGTCCACGTTTATAGGGAAAGATAGCCAAAATCATAATAGAAGTCCAAGCGCGGGTAAACGGTGGGAGTAACTAGGAGTGCCCTGGGCAACGCTGGGTTCCCAAGCTAGTCTTTTATAAAAATGTTGTGAATTGTATGCATAATGCACTGAATTGTAAAAGTTCTAAAATATTGATAAAGTTTCCAATTATAAAGTTTTTGCCGGGACAGAATAATAATTCTGTTTCCTACAGTCAAAAATATATAAACATACTGGAGATTAGAGTTGGAAATATATAAACATACTGGAGATTAGAGTTGGAAATGGATGTAAAGAATTAATCTCATTCCAGTCTTGCAGGAACTCAAGACAATCTCTTATTGGATAAATCTGGGAAATTTTGACCAATAACGGAGCGATTAACTTCTTCCCATGGAGAAAGAGAATGAGTTTAACTTTACTTTTGATCATTTAAAAGTTTAAACTCCATAATCAATCATGTGTTTAGGCTTCAAATGTATATCTATTGCGGCTCTAAATAGATATATTTATTTAGGCTTTAAATATAAATTTATTTAAATTCGATAAACAGATATATTTAGGCTTTAAATCTAAATACATACTTTCCTTGTCTTTCTGTTTGTTTGTGTGGGTGTCTGTTTGTTTGTGTCCAATAAACTTCAAAACGGCTGAACTGATCAGGCCCAAATTTTATGTGGGACCTTGCAATACCCCAGGTTTATGGATGATAAAATTTTTAAATATTAATGCCTCTAACAACATTTTTTTTTGGAAAATTTAGAAAATGCTCGAAATTTTGTTTGTTTTGTTTTACAATGTTAATAAAGAGTACATATGTTCACAATTGAAATAGACGATGGTCTTGAAGCGCCCTAAAAGCTTAGTAGATATATGTATATAGACTCTAATAAATATATATTTAGGCTCTAAAAAAATATACATATATATAAGGCTCCTAAATATACATATTTATCTCTGAATCAATTTATATATTATTATATATATATATTTATATATATACATTAAAACAAGATGCTTCTAGTAAATGTAGTGTGATAAAGTATGGTTTTTTTTAACATCATGCTTGTTTTATTGTTTGTATCTATATGTAACATTAATTTGAAAATTAATTTAACATCTCGTGAAAATCCGCGAAACATCTGTGAAAAATTCTCAAAACCATTCATACTGATGATTGCATAAAAGCATGAAACAATTTGTTTATGAATAAAATGTTATAAGAAGATTGTTGTTTTTCAACTGATATATATATGTAATAATAATAAATGTGAAGTTAAAAACTGAAATTTATATATATATATATTTAGGCTCTAAAATCCAAGAATATACCGAATGGAACCCTGGGTCTGGTATTAACCCGGAGCCAGGACGAGAAAGCACATATCCACGATGCTCTGTGAGTATTTGTTTGTATTTGTACTCCCCAGGGGGTGGAAACGTCATGTGTGTGTGTCTGTACCAAAAGAGTGTGTGTAAGGTTACCGTACCGGTCTGCAAAGCTGTGCGACTGGCTTTCTCATGCCAGACCAGCGCCATTTCCTTTCCCTTTATTCCTATTCCTGGTACTCCCCTGTTCAATCTGATCCTGCCAGGCTACATTTGTTACATAAAACGTGCTGGGTCGACTGTTCACCTTGTAGTCCAAACGGGAGAGTACGCATGAAGGCATATATACAGTACTTACTGTACCGTCTTTTAGATTGGTTATGAGTCGAATGACCAACAAAATTTCTAACTGCAAACATTTATTTAGAATATTAGAACTTTTTGATAAAAAAATTAGATCTAAGTCATGTCCGCCGAAATATTTTTGAGATATCTCAACTTTCTGTTCTAAAATTTTAATGAATGGATTGCATTTTCGAAAATTTGAATATTTTTTAATCAAAATCAAAATTGGTTTGCGATTGCGAATAAAGATTTTGAGCAACAAATCAAATGAGTAATAAGTATTAAAAAGTATCATTCAAAAGACGTTGATAAAAGTCTCTGCTTTTTACAATCAAATGTAAACTTGTACATTACCGTACGTTTTATTAGTTCTAAATCTAAAAAACAAAACTTATATATTCCAAATTCTAAAATTAAAATCCAAAAATGTATTTTGAAAAATTTAGACACATACTTGCTCGAGCACTGGCTAAATTATATGAAGAAGAGGAAGATGTGGAAGAGGCTCCCAGTAACTGCAACAGGTTAGAAAACAAGGATCAAAATTTCAAAATAGGTTAGAAAACAAGGATCAAAATTTCAAAATAGGTTAGAAAACAAGGATCAAAATTTCAAAATAGGTTAGAAAAAAAGATCCAAATTTAGAAAAAGATCAAATTTTTATAAAAAAAGATCAAAATTTTAAAGAAAAAGGAACAAATGTTATAGAAAATAAGGATCAAACTTTCAAAATCAAAAATATTTTTTCTTCAGTTTTTTCCAAGTTTAGGCACTTCTCAGATGGTTTTTTTTTATTAATGGCTATATTTTGTGTGATCTAAAATTGGGATTATAAGCGAAATTTTTATGTAAATTTCCATTTAAAAAGGGACATCCCCGATTTACAACAGTACCACTAATACCCTTGACTGATCATCGAGGACAGAGAACTCAGTGTTTACTTATTAACTCAACGCGGATGAAGTCACATTTAGTCCTTTAAAATCTAGAATATTTAATTTCGGTTCTATTTGTTTAGTTCCGGTTCTATTTTTTAAGTTCCGGTTCTATTGTGTTTAGTTCCGGTTCTATTTCTTTGGTTCCGATTCTATTGTGTTTAGCTCCAGTTCTATTTGTTCAGTTCCGGTTCTATTTGTTTAGATCCGGTTCTATATGTTTAGTTCCGGTTCTATATGTTTAATTCCGGTTCTATTTGTTTAGTTCCGGTTCTATATGTTTAGTTCCGGTTCTATTGGTTTAGTTCCGGTTCTATATGTTTAGTTCCGGTTCTATATGTTTAGTTCCAGTTCTATTTCTTTAGTTCCGGTTCTTTTGTGTTTAGCTCCAGTTCTATTTGTTTAGTTCCAGTTCTATTTCTTTAGTTCCGGTTCTTTTGTGTTTAGCTCCAGTTCTATTTGTTTAGTTCCGGTTCTATTGTGTTTAGCTCCAGTTCTATTTGTTTAGTTCCGGTTCTATTTGTTTAGATTCCGGTTCTTTTGTGTTTAGCTCCAGTTCTATTTGTTTAGTTCCGGTTCTATTGTGTTTAGCTCCAGTTCTATTTGTTTAGTTCCGGTTCTATTTGTTTAGATCCGGTTCTATATGTTTAGTTCCGGTTCTATATGTTTAGTTCCGGTTCTAAATGTTCAGTTCCGGTTCTCTATGTTTAGTTCCGGTTCTATTGGTTTAGTTCCGGTTCTATATGTTTAGTTCTGGTTCTATATGTTTATTTCCAGTTCTATTTATTTAGTTCCGGTTCTATTGTGTTTAGCTCCAGTTCTATTTGTTTAATTCCGGTTCTATTTGTTTTGTTCCGGTTCTATTTTTTAAGTTCCGGTTTTTTTAAGTTCCGGTTCTATCTGTTTAGTTCCGGTTCTATATGTTTAGTTCCGGTTCTATATGTTTAGTTCCGGTTCTATACTTGAAGATGGGAGGTAAATATCAAAAACTTGAAGATGGGAGGTAAATATCAAAAACTTGAAGATGGGAGGTAAATATCAAAAACTTGAAGATGTGAGGTAAATATCAAACTTTATATTCTAAATTTAATTTTTTTTGGAAGTTTCATTCGTTAAACAGCTTCTTCTTTTATTTCTGTAAGTTTCATAAACTAATCAATAGAATAAATCTCTTCGCTCATGTATATATATTTATATACATGTTACCTACAGCTGGCCAAACGGCTGGACCAAACGGGCTGAATTTTTGTTAATGGAACCCATGGGTATTTTGGGGGTAACCAAGGCTATAAAAATGGGAAATTTTCCTTTCAAAATTCGATGTTTTTTATCAAAAATTTGATTTTTTCAATCCCCGGGCAACGCCGGGCACTTCAGTTAATAATTAATAAATAGTTACGCTAGTTTTTTTATGTATAAAAGGGCCAGAAAACGTTATAAAAGTAAATCTGCATTGTTTTAATATGATCAATTATTAATTCAAATTAAACGCTATATATTAGTTTGTTGGAATTAAACCGAAAAAAATGATAAGTCGTAAAAGTGTGGTTAGGGCAAAGGGGGGAGTGTACATCACTATTTTTAAGAATTTTCCACAAAAAAAGGTAAGTTAGTGTATCATGTATGTAGTATAAAGACTGGTATAAACCAATACATCGATAAATCATATTCCTTCTTCAGATTATACCAGCTCACAATAGAATACAAAACAAATCCCAATGCTTCCAATTATTGCCATAAACTAAGGAACTCCACAAAAAAAAACAAGTTAATTGGCTTCCTCCCTTCCCCTCTCCCCCAATTTCCTTAACATCTCCCCCATCACACGTCCCAACAACCTGAATCCTAAAGTTAGATTCAGTGGCGTATTCAGAAAATTTTTCCAGGGGGAGGGCTATAGATTTCGCTGATCAAGGGGGGGGGGGCTGAACACGCCTCTGGTTATATTCCATGTGTTTATTAATTAGTAATCATGGGTACCACTTACCTTAATAGGTGGAAGGGGTCGACTGAAATTACGGATAATTTATAGATCTTTGTGGAATCTTTCCACTTTTTTTGTCCTTTTATTAGATTTCATAAAATCTTCTCTTTAAATAAGTTTTTGATTGAAATTTAAATCACAATAAAATAAAATAAACTGTTTTCAGAACTGGTCGGGTCGTTTTTGATGCTATGGGAGACAGACTGTTCGCAGAGTATAAGGTAAAGATCATCATCATCATCATCATCATCATCATCATCATCATCATCATCATCATCATCATCATCATCATCATCATCATCATCATCATCATCATCATCATCATCATCATCATCATCATCATCATCATCATCATCATCATCATCATCATCATCATCATCATCATCATCATCATCATCATCATCATCATCATCATCATCATCATCATCATCATCATCATCATCATCATCATCATCATCATCATCATCATCATCATCATCATCATCATCATCATCATCATCATCATCATCATCATCATCATCATCATCATCATCATCATCATCATCATCNTATTATTATCATTATTATTATTACTATTATTATTATTATTATTTTCTTATTTCTAACTAATAAACTATACAAGGTGATGAATATCCAACCTAACGAAGCTGGAGAGAAAGAACTTGTGGCTGTTGGCAACTATTCATTTTCAAGGGTAATTTTATTCAATGTTAACATAACAGGGTGAAACGTTGATCTCCCCCTTATAATTCAAGGTCTGTGGGATTTTAAAGTTGAGAACAAAATCCTCCGAAGTTAATGAGTTAGTGCTTAAACTTTTAATAAAGAAAGGAAATACTAACCAAAAAAGATTGCGTTTGTTTTTTGGTTTTTTTGGATACATTTTCTCTTGCAGTCTCAAAATTTGGCATTACATAAGAAAAGCAAATGTTTAGGATATTTAAATCAAAAAACATCTGATTTTCTTTGTCCTAAAAACTTTTTTTTTTAAATTACAGATTTATGGAATAATTTCGATCAAAATTGTGAAGAGTTCAGCTTATCTTTGTTAACTTCAAAGTTAAAGTCCTAACCCGCATAGAACAAGCGACGCTGTTTTAGAGTCTGAAAACGACCCGCACGACCCCAAAAACGGGCGCCGGCCCGACTCTGTTTTAGTCTTGAAGACAGTCGTTTAATGGCTGATTTAGCAATTTCTTAAAGAACAAGTGTACACTTATATTAATTTAAAGAAACAGACAGTATAAACTTCGTACAGTCTTTTCTGAAGTATCATTCTTTGTGGGTAACCCTGTGATAAAAATCTTAGCACTATTAGGCACAAGCAAGCTTCAAACCAAGATGTCGCGTTAGCACGCAAAAATCGAGTACAAACGTTGGACTGGTACAATCGTCGGACTGGTACAAACGTCAGACTAGTACAAACGTCAGACAGGTACATGTATAAGGAAAAACGTCGGACTTTGGTTGAGTTTAAAAAAAATGCTATAAGAAATAAATAAAAAATTACTCACATATTGTGATAAAAATAAAAATAACTGAATAAAGTCTCGTCCTTTGAAGTTAGCCCTGTGTAAATCAACAGACCAAAAAGGAGTTTTAATATGCCTATATCTTAGCAACCCGATGTCGTATATCCTTAAATTTTTCAACCTATGAAATCTATAAGATCATTAACAGTTTAAGTTTGAAAGTATCAAAGGTTAATACCATTACCAGGTTGCAAAGATTTAAGGATGAGAATATTTGAGTTAGTGACAAGAACTCAGTAACTTTTGGTAAATTTTTATTAGACTGCAGTCGTAAAAAGGAAATAATAAAAAGGAAAAAAAATATCTTAAAATTCAAATATTTTTTTCTTCATTCCGAAGTTTGTACTGGTCTAACGTTTGTACTGGTCCGACGTTTGTACTGTCCGACGTTTGTACTGGTCTGACGTTTGTACCAGTCCGACATTTGTACTAGTCCGACGTTTGTACTGGTCTGACGTTTGGACTGGTCTAACGTTTTTACTAGTCCGTCGTTTGTACTGGTTCGACGTTTGTACTGGTCCGACGTTTGTACTAGTCCGTCGTTTGTACTGGTTCGACGTTTGTACTGGTCCAACGTTTGTACTGGTCCAACGTTTGTACTGGTCCAACGTTTGTACTGGTCCAACGTTTGTACTGGTACCGTTGCGATCTCTAAAAACTTTAAGAGTTGTCTTTATCTCAGTGAAAGATTGATTGAAATGTGTCATAAAGAAAATGGGAAATATTGCCTGTTTCTGAATTGAATCCAATATTATCGTTACCAATTTTACCTCTTTATTTTTCATCTGTAATGGTAAAATTGCATAGATTAATAAAAAATACAGATAGAACACTAGATATCGTCTTTTCAAGATTCAGGGTTATTGTGAACGAAAAACTCTTAAATCTTGAAAGGACAACAGCCAGAGTTCTATCTGTATTTTTATTAATCTATGCATTTACCATTATAGATAAAAAGAAAGAGGTATTGCACGAAATGTATAATCGGTATGTATGTCGGCTAGGTACTTCAATTGAACTAGCTATGGCATTATGTCTAATTATGTCATTGTAATGGGCATTATTAAGGACGAAAAACTTTTGTCGGGATTTTTTTTTCTATTTTGTTAGATATCAAAGTATTTTCAAATCGTGACACCGAAGATATTAAAGTGTAAAAAAAACTTAATTTAAATTGATTATCTAACTTTACCATTAACTTTTGGCATGTTATTGGTTAAATACTGAAGATTTTCGATTAATCTTTTCTTCTTCTTTAATATTTTACTTGTTCAGGAGACGACAGGGATGGTTTTGAGCATCGAGGATAGTCTGATTATCTGGCCTGGAGGAAATAGGTAAATTTCAATTTATTATTTATTAAAACTATACAGTGAGGACCAGAAAGCTATGGAATAGAAAGACAATATTAAAGGAAAAATTAACTGTATTTGACGTTGTTAACAAGCAAATAGTTGTACTGTTGTACGTAACTTTACAATTTAAGTTTCCAATGCACAATAGCTGTGTGTTCATTGAACCATTTAAAGTCATAACTTGAGTCTTAGAGTAGTCTTCCTATTCCAGAGTTTTCTGGTTCTCACTGTACCATTAAAGATACACAGAGATGATTTTGCTACCTTGTTTAAACAGTGTGAACCATAAAACTATGTAAAAGGAAAACGACAACTTTTTATTTTGAACATGAAACACGTCAATTGTGTAGTGTACAGTGTACACAGTTCCATAGTACTTTAAGTTTATTTTCAAACGTCTGAATACTGAATTTTATTCTGATTCAATTATTGCCAACGGTCTACTCATTTTTACGAATAATTCCTCTTTAAGAGACTGTACACTTAGTTTCAAGTGAACCTCCATTAAACGAATTTAATTCCTTTTAAGAGCCTGTAGACTTTATTTCAAGTAAACCTCCATTAAACGAATAGTTCCTTTTAAGAGACTGTAGACTTTATTTCAAGTAAACCTCCATTAAACGAATAGTTCCTTTTAAGAGACTGTAGACTTTATTTCAAGTAAACCTCCATTAAACGAATAGTTCCTTTTAAGCAACTGTAGACTTTATTTCAAGTGAACCTCCATTAAACAAATAATTCCTTTAAGCAACTGTAGACTTTTTTTTAAGTGAACCTCCATTAAACGATTGATTCCTTTATGCAACTGTAGACTTCATTTCAAGTAAACCTCCATTAAACGATAATTACTTTAAGCAACTGTAGACTTTATTTCAAGTAAACCTCCATTAAACGAATAATTCCTTTAGGCAACTGTAGACTTTATTTCAAGTAAACCTCCATTAATCGAATAATTCCTTCTAAGCAACTGTAGACTTTATTTCAAGTAAACCTCCATTAAACGAATAATTCCTTTAAGCAACTGTAGACTTTATTTCAAGTAAACCTCCATTAATCGAATGATTCCTTCTAAGCAACTGTAGACTTTATTTTAAGTGAACCTCCATTAATCGAATAATTCCTTTAAGAAACTCTAGGCCTTATTTAAAGTGGCCATCCATTAAAAGAATGGTATATTGGTTTCGCAAAGGTACCCTTACAAGAATAAATGTGATATCCATGTTTTTAAGTTAAAAAATTTGATATTTTTAATTTTGGTTTCTCAATAAGAGTGTTTGGAGGATTTCTCCGAAAGAAACGATGAAGAAATTGTCTAAAGTAAATACAAAGTAAAACGACGATATCTCCCACATTAAAAATTTGATAAGGTTACAGGGTATCTTTAGAAAAGGTTAACTTGAAATTATGACGACTTTCCCTTTAACAATCCACTATTTAAGGGACAAGCCAACAGGAGTGATGATACCAACTCATCTCAAGGTTCTAACAATTGTGGAGAGACCCTTTATTGAGCACATGAACAACACTAGGAACGTATTCTATACTTATATGCGCCATCTTAGTTTTACCAAATTTGCATGAATGCAATTCTTGAGTTTTTAACCAAGGCGCATTGTGCTGGACTTAATCTAAGTAAATGCTGAGATCAATTCCGGGTAAGAGTCCTTAATATAACCGTTCTTAACCGATTAAAAAAAATGAATTATACTTTTACACTTGCATCTGCAATGATGATGATAATAAAAAATTTGATAAGTTAAATTGGCATGTGCTCTGATAAATAGTTAAAAATGTTATTGGAATCATTTTCTTTGTTGCTTGTTTGCTTGTTTGCTTGTTCAAAAAATGTATGTTTCTTACAAATTCAAAATGGCGGTCACAGATGGGTTTTAATCAGCTGATTATGAATATGAATTGTAGTGGATGTGAACGAGAGGATGGTTGGTATCCGTGTCCAGAATATGTTTTCTCATCAAACTCTACACTTCTAACCACAAGTAAGTATCAACAGTCAGTAGTCAATACAATGTCAGCGATCTATGGCCGATCATGGAAACAAAATAATCGATCAGTATGATATTAGAAGAAGTTGCGCGGTGAGACGATTAAAGTGTTCGACTGCGAGTAATAGTAGATAATTTTCAGTTATTCGTATTTCAATTATTAGAGCTTTTTAAATTATTTATTTGTAACCAAGAAGAAAACGTGCATAAAAATATCTCGATATGCAATGTTTTGCTTCAAATTTTTCAAAATAAACATTTGGAAGATTTCATCTCTAGAGGTTTATGAATTTTCAGAATTCTGACTTGTTATTTAGATATGTTTTCACTAACGATTTTTGTTTGAAATCAAACAGAACATTTTACAAAATATTCAAAATTACAAGAAATTTTGAAGCTTTAGAAAACAAGAAATAAACTTTCCTAAATTGTAAATTGAATTATTTATTAACTGACAAGAAAGCACTGCGCCGGGAAAAAAGCTTCTTTGAAAAAAAATTGAATTGGTAAAAGTGCAATTTTTTACTCCTTTAATTACATTTTACAGAGAAGCAATAATTCAATGCGCTAAAAAATGTTATCTTAGAAATAGAAAGTTAAAAAATCTTTTTTTAAATAATGACATTTACAATTAACATTGGATACTAATACAGTTTAATTTTATATTCGAAATTTTTTTTAATCCATGACATTTACAAAATACATCAAATAGTGTATAGACAAAGGGACCGCCCCTTTGCACCTGAATTCGGAATGGAAAATCGCTTTTTTTCTGGCCACAGTTATCTTTGAAAAGTAAGACCAATACTAATCAATAGCTAATAAGCTATTTAGTTTACCCCAAAATTACCCAAATAAGTGAACGGTTCCTTTAAAAATCAACTTATTATAAGTGAAATGGGTCTGTGTACACTACACAATTGCTTTGTTTCATATAAGTTGGACTTTATAAATGATAACTTGAGTACAGTCATAACCAGAAAGACCCGAAATTAATTGACAGTTAATCAGACGACTGTACATATTTATATCTGGTAATTTTAAACTCACAATAAGGGCAGACCACATTTTGGAATTGGCAATTTTTTTATCATATTTCTTAAATTAGATTGTAAAGTGAACTAATTCCAGGTCTTTCTGATTATGACTGTTTACAGTCAAGTGTTATGATTCCCACAAATCAAAGGAGACCAGACGGGTGCGTCCTACTTTTTTTCAACAGTTTTGAATGCTTTCCAATATTACTCTCAGGTTGATTATCCTATACAGGGTGTCCCACGAAACATTACAGTAGCAAGAGACCTGGAATGCCGTCCTTGAACAATATTCTCCAAGTCCTGGAATTTTCAAAATGTGGTCTGCCTTTTTGGGTTGTAAATATATGAGATATTAAGAATTTTATTCATGTTTGAATTTTATCCAACAAATCCAAAAAATTTAACGAAATCCTTCATATCTCCAGTAACAAAAAAGGCAGACCACATTTTGGAAATGCCAAGACTAGGGGTATTTAGTAATTATTAACTCTAGAATTTTACTTTTAAGATTAGGGTTACAACTAAATGACGCAATTTTAAAGGACGCAATTTATTTCAAAAATCAAAGACGACCTTTAATTCGTCTTGCTATTGTCATGTTTTGTGGGACACCCTGTATATCCTGTATGTTTAGTGGGTAGTAAATACTGCTGTAAGGGCTACTGTATGGATCTACTGGAGAAGTTGGCTCTTAAATGCAACTTTACTTACGATGTTTATCTTTCCTTAGGTAAACTATACACTGTAACAGGATATATAAAGGGATTGTTCTCTCTATTAATTACAGAACCTAAAAAATAGTGGAACATAAGACTCAGGTCTAAGCTGTCATTGAGACTAAATTAAGAATCGAGATTTAAGATATAAGTTGCAACTAATCTTTCACAGAGTCGGTTTTATCAAATCAGAGCTGGGAACTTTAGAATGGTGGATATCGGGATTAATGCTTAATCCACTCTTTTTCTTAATCTCCAGATTAAATAATGCTTGTTCTCCTCTCGTTATTAATCTCCAGATTAATTAATCGATCGGGATTAAGGATATCTCATTCTAAAGTTTTCAGAGCTGAAAACTTTAGAATGGTGGATATCAAGATCATTGCTTGATCTCCTCTTTTTATTAATCTCCAGATTAAATATGGCTTGTTCTCCTCTTGTTATTAATCTCCAGGTTGATTAACAGATTGGGATTAGGGATATCCCATTCTAAAGTTTTCAGCTCAGCTCAGTTTGATATTCTATTTCGGGGATTTTCTTAGTGGGAATTGGCGCATTCCAGGATTTGAATAGAATAATTGACTCAAAATTGAGACAAATTCTCCTTAAGTCGAGCTTCTTAGAGCTGACAGCTGTCGATCACGCGACACAACCTGCAGTTGTCAGCTAATTCATAGCGCACAGGTTCAAGATTAAGCCTTAAACCTGGGCCGGGGCTTAGAAATTAAGCTGAAGATTTTGAATCGCGGGCTCAGAAAATATCAGCACGATTTTATCAGTTTTTCATGAACAATTCACCAAAAAAAGCTTCATCGTTTTTTTTTATTTCTAAAATGAAAAAAATGTCGACCATTTTTAGGTCAATCTTATGAAAAAATACCCCAAAAAGCTCTTTAAAAAGCTGCAAAAAAACCCTAACATCTCTAAATCATCAATACTGAGATTAAAGATTGCTTGTGATGGTAAAATTAAATTTTATGTAAGAAGAATATTTAGATATTAAAAAAACATTTTAAAAATATTTTGATGAATACAAAGATTACGCACATTAATCTCCCTCGAAGGAGATGATTCAGTTTGCGTACTGTCTGTTTGCTTACTGTACAACTTGTTCTTGCTGCCTAAACGTCAGTCCGGTACTTTTAACGAACCGGAGTTTTTGGTGCACAAATATTCTACGTTTATGCTTCCCTATTGTTGATTCGAATTTTTGCACCTTGATAATGAATATTTCAACTTGGTTGTAAAAATAACAGAATATTGTTAATAAAGAAAATTAATTTGAGTTATCAATCTAAAATAAAATTAATTTGAGTTATCAATCTAAAATAAAATTAATTTGAGTTATCAATCTAAAATAAAATTAATTTGAGTTATCAATCTAAAATAAAATTAATTTGAGTTATCAATCTAAAATAAAATTAATTTGAGTTATCAATCTTTTTTGTTCTAAGATGGTGATTACGGTAGTTTGGAGAGAAATAATCTGACCGGAAAGCAGGAGTGGACTGGACTAATAGGTAGGCTGTATATTGCAATAGGAGTTCCGAGTTTTCAAGTTTTGTTTTGCTATGTTTTGTCCCATATCACTCTATCCCCGTAGTTAATTTGAATTCGAACAGGACCTGCCCAGTTTGTACCGGCCTGCCAGATAACAGCGTGTACTGACCCGATCCTATGGTACAGTACGTCGCCCTAACCAGACTAACATACGACAGGGGTCAATTTTCTTGGCATAGTCCCGTGCGAGGGCTAACTATGACAACTCCCATGGCGCGTTCAGACTTTTACAGTACCCGACCTAATCCTAGGCCTATTTGACCGACCCCACTGGCTTAGTCCACTGTGATATATTAAGTTTCTGGCCGTATACGTTCGAATTTAAAAACGTATGACAGAAACTAGTTGCTGCTTTGAGTTTTGACACATTTTTTTGATGTTTTTAGTTTGAACAGATTTAATATTTTTGGACAATAAGAAATTATTTATAACATGGTAAATTTAGGAACATTTTTTGGAGCTATAGGACTTTTTAAACTTTAGTAGCGGTTATATACTAGAGTTTTAGAGATATTGAGTTAAAAATTTATATTTACTTACATTACACATTGCAACGGGAAAAGCTACCCACGCATCTATTTTAAAATATTGGTCATCCGTGCCCCACGGACACCTTACTATGTATTTTTTTGGCTTGTTTTTGGTGTACATCCAAAAAACGTCAAGACGGAAAAATAAAAACACTTTTTTGCCGATTTATTCAATCTAACAGAAAGTTCTTTTTAGTCATATAAAAAACGATCAAAATGGTGGCTTAAAAAGCAATATTAAAACTCAAATTATTACTAAAAAAGGGACACGAAGCGCTATAAAAGCCTGCAGTGTATGTATGTTATAAGACTTGTCGTTGTGTTCAATTGCTTATTTATTTCTTCTCCTTGCCAACTTCTAAATTGGATTTAGCGTTGCAAATACAATCTCACAGATGGAGACAATTGCAGAAAAATAAAATTGTTTTTCTATATTTTCTATATTTCCGAGTACGTAGTATCCAATTTAACCACATAGAAGGGAATAATTCAATAAATATAGGAAAATTTAAAGTTATTAGAAAGTATCTAGAAACTGCTACTTTTATGAAATAGTATTTTCAATCTATGGATTAATTACTAGAAAGTTTCTAGATGTTTAAAATCTAAATTGATAAGCATATACAGTAAGACAGTGAACAGAAGGTACAATATCAGCATTATGTAATAATACAGTTTAATAAATGATTTATAAAAACGGAACTTTACATTTACCTCTATCTAAAACTGCATATTACCTGTTTCTTTGCAACCTGATGGTGTACAACTTTTAATTTTCGTTGACCTTTTAAACATTTATTATTATAAAAGTAAAGCAATGAAGACACTTCTTTAAAAAAAGGGCAAAACATAAAGATTTAAAATCTTCCGAAAAGGTACGCTTAATTTTCAAAGATGTCTAGTTTTTCATTGATATTTTTACATCAAAAAATGCGATGATTAATTATAATCCTGTCTTTCTAGATTGAATTTCAATATTGACAGTTTGCCATTTTTCAATACTGAAGAAAATATTAAAGAACAGGGAAATGAAAATTATAGAATTTGATTTTTAAACTTTAAACTTAAAGATTTAGTAAAAGTAGGAAATGTAGGGAATTTAGGAAATTTATGAAATACAGGAAATGTAGGAAAAGTAGGAATGTTGGAAATGTAGGATATGTAGGAAATTTGGGAAAGGTAAGAATTACAAGAAATGCAAAAATACGGGAAATTTAGGAAATGTAGTAAATACAGGAAATGTGGAAAATGTAGGAAATGTATGAAATAAAGGAAATGTGGGAAATGCAGGAAATGTAAGAACTGTAGGAAATGTAGGAATTACAGGAAAAGTAGAAAATTAAGGAAATACAGGAAATACATGAAATACAATAAATGTAGGAAATAGAGGAAATGTAGTAAATATAAGAACTGTAGGAAATACAGGAAATGTAGGAAATACAGGAAAAGTAGAAAATTAAGGAAATAAAGGAAATACAATAATTGTAGGAAATAGAGGAAATGTAGGAAATGTAGTAAATACGTACGGGAAATACAGGAAATTTACAAATGCAGGAAATGTAGGAAATACAATAAAAAGATTAAATACAGTAAATGTGGGAAATACAGGATATGTAGGGAATACAGTAAATACAGGAAATGTAGAAAATGCAGGAAATGCGAGACATATAAGACATTTAGGAAATACAGGAAATGGTGGAAATGTAGGAAATGTAGTTTGTTATGTCTTTTATTACTAAGGTGAACTGGTTACTGAAAGAGCGGATATGATAGTTGCTCCCCTAACCATCAACCCAGAGAGGGCTCAGGTTAAACCTTTAAGTAGATCTTCAAGATAGAGGTTGCAACTTTTTAATTGTTAATCCCTTCAGGTTAAACCTTTATAAAGATCTTCAAAATAGAGGTTGCAACTTTTGAGTTGTTAAATCATTCAGTTTAAACCTATATAAAGATCTTAAAGAAAGAGGTTGCAACTTGTGAATCGTTAATCCTTCCAGGTTAAACCTTTATAAAGATCTTCAAGATAGAGGTTGCAATTTTAGTTTAGTTAATCCTTTCAGAACGTTTTAATCTGTATCTTTTGAGGCCAAACAAATTAAGTTATTTCCTAAATCTAAAGGACAAGTTAGCTGTTGTATCACGGTTAATTTTATTATTACGTTAAAAGCCTTTACTGTCGATTACAAGTTAAATCTAACTGTAGATTAGCGCCTGTTAATACAAATGTTCCGAGTTCTCAGATTTAAAAAAAATTTTGGTTTAAAAATATTTTGTACATGTTCAATCCCAAAGTGTTATACTTTTTTATCGACCTGAAACTTCTCTTAGATACAGGGTGTCCCAATAAACGTGGGAATTGAGAGACGACTTGAAAGTCGTCTTTAATTTCTGATATTTAATGCATGGCAAGGAAAGTTAAAAAAAGGACTGTACGTCATGCAGATAAGCTTTACATAAAGTGATCTACCTTTCTCGTGTCTTATAAATTGACAAAGATATTATAAATAAAGACAATTTTGCTTTATTAAAAAAGTGAAATTTTTACAAATTTTGCAATATCTCCGTCAATTTTATAGATACAAAAATGGTAGACCACATTTGAAAAATCTCAAGACGAGGCGTTTTCGATATTATATGTTTGAAATGGAATACTGCAATAATTGTGTTCATAAAATAATGCCGTGTGGATCGAAGACGATATAAAAGTCGTTACATAATTCCCACATTTATTGGGAAACCCTGTAGCACCGAAGAAACATTATATTGTAATACTATATTGAAAAAAAAATTTTCTACAGCAACGGATCAAGACATTAAAAAAGTAAATAAAATCTGTATCCAAGAATTTTTGGTTGTTTTGCTTTTCATTTTTTTTCTTATTTTGAAAGTTAATACCTTTGTTCGCCAATTTAATTTAATGAATCTCATTTTTTGAAGCCATGAGACAACATTTTGTTCAGGTAATGGAATTTAGCAAACCTTTCAAATATCAGGGCATCACTATTCTTCAAAAACGGGTAAGCACGTTTATTTATTATTTTCCTTAATTCCAAAAGTTCATAACCAAAAATACAATATTTTCCACTAGAAGGAAAAATAGATATTTACACGAAAACTGAAATTTTTTTCTAACTTTATTTAAAAGATTTAAGAGCTGTTCATGTTCCATGTATTTTATTTCTTAATCTAAATTATTATTCATATCGAATATGAAATCAAAAATAAAAATTAATTTTAATTTGTACAAAGAACCGATAGAATAATAAAGTTCTTAAATTATCTGTTTCTTACTTATGTTCAAAATATTATTATCTAGAATTGTTGCTATTTCTTGTTTATGTTGCAAAAGTAAACAATGAATTTTGAATAATTTGCCAATTTGTTTTAGCAACCTAGAGCCTCACAACTAGTCTCCTTTCTGCAGCCTTTCAAACCAACATTGTGGGTGCTAGTACTGGTTTCAGTTAAGGTAAATGCCGCAAGCATTTTTGTTTTTGATGATGGGTCGTCTTTAGTCAATTAACAATTCTACACGGGTTTAATGAGACTGTATACGCAATTTCAAATGCACAGTGTCCGTATTATAATAACAAATTTATATATTTTGACTTTTCTATTATTCATGCTAATTGCTTATAATATTCGTTTCCGTCCTGTAAAATCTTTATTTATCTCAAGGTGATAGCAGTTTGTTTATACCTGCTGGACCGGTTTTCTCCCTTTGGGCGGTACAACACGGACTCCGGAGAAGTACGCGAAGAGGATTCGTTAAATTTGACCGCGGCAATCTGGTTTGCGTGGGGGGTGCTTCTCAACTCAGGAATAGGTAAATAGCATGTTAGCATTGGCACTTTTTGTGCGGTGTAGGAGGTCGTATTGTTTCAAATTTAACATCATAACATGAATACAGAGAACCGAAAATCTGTGGAACGGGAAGACAATATTAAAGCAATAATTAAGTGTATTTGATGTTTTTACAACTATTACTGTAACATATTAAATCACCGATATTCATACTGCACAATTGCTTTGTCTCATGTTCATTTTGCTATATCAAGCCATTTACTGAGTCGTAAAGTCGTCTTCCTATTACAGACTTTTATGGTTCTCATTGTACCAACGTTGCGTTTATGAAAAGTCCCCAGCATTATGCTGCAGACGGAAACAGATGGATGTAATCTGATGTTGTAAAATCTTCGATATTTCATCTAACTGAATTCATGGTTTCAAATATCAAAGGTCAGAGGTTGCAAAGATATAGGGATTACAAGATGGAAAGACAATGGGATAGAGTTGGTGACAGAACTAAGTTTCTTTATATAGATGGTTAACCACAAACGATTAGACTTCAGAGACGACTTTACGGAATGTGTACTGTCTGTCAACTTATATTAACGATTCCCTGCAACTGTAAACTTTTTTCATTGCCGAATCATTAAACAACCCATTAAATGACTATAGTCAAGGTAGAAGACCTAATTTAACCTGGGATCGTCATATTTAATGAGTTTTATGTTGTCTTAACAGCCTCATCCGTTGTGGATATTCTTCGATTTTGAGTTAATTTTATTAGATTAATTAAATTCGATCCGTTTTCCTAAGATTTATGTACTGCAGTATCTAGTCAGCTGGAGGATTGAAAACATTGCAGTACAACGAAAACTTTAAAACAGTCTCAGCTCAGCATGAAACTTTTAACTGAACAGATTAAATTTAGCTTTTTTCTCAATCTCTCAAATGTGAAAATTAGTTTTTGACCAACGATAAGAGACCCTTTAAATCCCAGCTTAAAGGGACTGTTAAGGTAAAAATTAAACGGGATATGGGCTGAAGCCTAAAAATTTTAGGACAAAGCCACTTGACTAGATACAGAGCGGCCATTGATGGAAATTCTGGTCACATGAAACAGAAGGAGCTACGTAACTAGGTACTGCACTGCCATTGGTGGAAATTCTAGTCACATGATACAGACCTAACAATCATATTATCAAATATATCTATTAAAAATGAATAAGTATTATATTCAAATTACAATAGGAGCGCACCTAACATTTTAAGGCACCTCTGGGTTCACCTAATTTTCAGATTTGTTCTGTATTTGCTGAATATGATCTGTTTAAAACTTGGATTCGTATACCATATCACATATATATGAGTTTTGGTATAATTTCTATAACACAGTTTTATATCAACTTCTTGTGACAGCAACAACAGATAGAACTATTTATAGGTCGGAATCAACTCCTAAAATGTTTAGGCTTCAGCCAGTATCTCCTTTCATTTTGCCTTGAGAAACTGAGTTTTATTTATTCCGTTCTCTTAAAAGATTCCACCCCTTGGACAGCTGATACATTCTTGAATTTTTGACACCCATCTTGTTTAAGGCGAAGGGACTCCGCGTAGTTTCTCAGCTCGAGTGTTGGGTATGGTTTGGGCTGGATTTGCTATGATTATTGTGGCCTCCTATACTGCCAACCTCGCAGCCTTCCTTGTTCTTGATAAACCTCAAACCAGCCTCACTGGTATCAATGATCCGAGGGTAAGAATAACTACTTAGCCATTTCTATCCCTTTTTCTAACCAATTCTTTACAACCACTTCCACCAACACTTTTATCCTTCAAATCCACCCGCCTCTTTCACTCGCCTCTTTTCTATCTACCACTTTTATCCGTCCCTTACATCACTTCCGCCGGCAAATTTCCCCCGCCTATTTTTCCCTCACTACCTCACGACTTGTCCACCGTACACTTCCTGTATTATCTACAGGGTTACCCACAAAGGATGAGACTTTAGAGACAATTGTAACGGAATTTGTTTAGTCCGTTCTTTTACATTCAGGGTTCCTTGTAGGTCAAAACTGGCATATATCTGTACTTAATATTTTCAGAGTTTTGGGTCATCTTTACAATCTCATCTTTTATGGGTAAACCTGTAGTTTCAAAGTTTCCCTTGACTAATGTCAAAAACTGCACAATTTTCCAATTTAACCAACTTTACAAAGTCAATATAAAGGTTTCAATTAAAACATATTAAACTGACTATGAATATGTATCAGCTCACACTTTCATGCCGATTCAATTTGCGCCTGATCCAATCAGAGTTCAGTCATGTGTTTGGTGCATATTCTAAACCAATAAAAATTGCATGGGGATAATATCTATCTTTCCATCTATCTTATCATCCAATAAGAGATGAATCCTAAAATTGGCGCTAAACAGTAAATGTAAATATTTACTTTACACTGAAACTGCAGTGTTAGTACAGCTTGTGACATTTTTACTGTTGTTAAAGGGACTGTAAGCGTAATTTCAAGTGACCTTCCATGCAAAGATGACAATGCCCGATTTAAACAGTAGGCAAGAAATGACTTTCGGAGAGAAACCGCGAATGAAAATAAAAGAAGCAAAACAATAATATCTAATATACAAATTCTTTAGTAAACTGGACTTTGCAATCAATTAGTGGAAAAAGAAACATTCCGTTTTGTCACTGATATGCTGAAGAAGGAATGATGAAGCAAAGAATAATTATTTCTCTCGCAGTATCTCATATTCTCAAAACGAGGAGTGAAATTCGTACTTGATCGGATCGGTCCCCTTTAAAATTGCCATCTTTGCAAGGAGGCCTTGACAGACACTAATGACGTCATGCATGATTTCTTCAAAATCTCGGTGCCACCAATGCTACTTGATCTTGTGGCCCTACAAAAAAAATGATTCAGTCAGTTATGCAATTTTTAGAAACAAACAAACAGTAAAAAACATGTATTAAGCAAAAGAAAAAGTTTTTTCCATAGAACTTTGTCTTTTTCATCAGTAAAAGATTATTTTTAAACAATTTTTGGAAACTTTTAAATTATTTAATGCATGGAGAAGTATCAAAATTATCCTCCATTAGATGAATAAAATGTTTCCATTTGAAAAGATTAATCCAGAAACCAATATGCATTATAATTTATAATTAGTATAGACTGATGAAATTATTCTTTTTATGGATAAAAAATGCACGACAAAATCTATTGTTATAATTTCAGGTTTTCTATTTTTAGTATTATTATTAGTATTTCCTTTGAATTGATTTTATTAACACTAGTTGAAAACAACTGGGTTTCGCTTCTCTTTAATATTGTGAGAATAATAGATTTTAGGAAAATCTAAAAATTTGAAAAGCTCACAACTTGTAAATCTGTTATATAATCAACACTATTTAGTTAATTAATTTAATTAGTGTCAACGCTTCAATTTCATTTTAAAAATTGACACTTTTTAAAGAATAAATTTCAGACATTTTTAAAAAATTTTTTTCAAAGCATAATGAAGTTGGCACTAAAAACACCTTTTAAATAAATATTCACTAAAATTTTGTGTTCCTGACTTTCCCTTTGTTTAGTTAAGGAACCCAATGGAGAATTTCACCTATGCAACTGTCAAGGGATCAAGTGTAGATATGTATTTTAGACGCCAGGTAAATAATTTTTAATGCAAAACTTATTTTATACAGCAATCCAGGCAGCCATACAAGTTGTGCATTGATCGTTATTTCGACTGCAGGTCGACTTTGAAGTGTCGTAATGATTTGTCCTTAGTAACTGACCCACGTCAAACTAAAGTAAATTAATCGTAACATATGTTTTCAATCATAACTTCTTTAATCAAAGGGTAATTTAGGAGAAAAAATATTTCCAAAAAAATATGATTTTCTCAAATTTGTGGAGAAAATCAAAACTAGATGTGATGTTGCATAAATTTTCTATCTAGAACTAAAATAAGCTTATTTAGAACTAAAATTGTTTTAAGCTTGATAACTAACTAAAGGGCCCGTATTGCCCGTGGGGAAAAAAATCTGAAAAAAACTTTTGAAAAAATGGTTTGAAAAAAAAATAAATAAAAAAAATTAAAATTTTGAAAAAAAAATTCGATTTTTTTTACCCTATGACACAGTCACCCATGAGTGTCCACAAAAAATTTAAGCCCAATCGGTCCAGCAGACATAATAATATCATGGCTTTTGAAATTAGGTGTTACAATGCTAATTCATAAAAAAGACGATATCGAATTCTTCACTGAATTCCCATGTTTTTGGGACACCCTGTATATAGATTGGCAAAATCCTAAAATGTTTTAGCGTAATCATTGTGGACATGTTTGTACAAGGACCAATTCTCTTCTCATTATTTCTTCATCTAACTTTTGCACAGTTCAACTACAAAAATTTTCAAAGTATTTTTTTTTCTGCAAACAAACTTTTTTTTCTTTCTTTGTATTATGAAATATCGCTGATAATTTTGATATTTGCCATTGTTTGAGCTGATATTGTTCTAAAAATGTTCTGGGTTATATATGTAATTTTTAGAATAAAATCAGTTTTATAGTACAAAATATATATTGCGACATTTTGCATAATTAAAATAAGAGCGACATTAATTTCATTGTGTTCTTGTTACTACTGTATATCTGTACATATCTGTACATATTTGTACATTTTTGTTCATATTGGTACATATGTCTCATTAGAAAGTTCAGTTCATTTCAAGTATTAATCAGATTTTTAAGCAGCTAAAGCAAGTTGTACAGTACACAAGCTAAGTATACAGCTCACGACGGGACCGTACACCAAATGAACCATACCCTACTCGTGAAATTTATGTGAAATCTGTCCATGTTGGTACACCGTACATGTATGTATGTACTAGGTTGAGCTATCCAACATGTACCGCACAATGGAGGGGAAACACTTCAGGACTCCAGAGCTAGCTATTGATGCTGTGCGCAACGGGTAGGATTTTATTTATACCACGTGACCCTACATTCTCAGACTGGAATTTCCGATTCACAACGGTACCATGAAAAGACCAAGGTACTAATGCAAGGAAAATTAATTGAAGTCGCGTATACTCTGCGTACATTTTTAAACCAGTTCTCTCTGGGCGAAATTTTAAAAAAGAATAGATGCATCAGTGTTCGTCTGGTATCCGAGGAAGACAAAAGCATTTGATTTTGATAATTTTGAAAATTCACATAATAGTTTCCTATGACCAGAATATTTCATAGTTTATTTTTGTGAAAATTGATTCTATGTCAGGCTGTGACATCCGTCTTGTGTTTACCTTTCCGCCCAAAGACAGTACACTGAAGTACAAAAAATGCGTACACCTCTGAAATAACTTTCCTTGCATTAGTACCTTGGAAAAGACTATGTCTGATCAAAAATCAACACATGATTTCTTGTTAAGAAAAGGGTTATTTTTAATTTCGGTTTTCCAACACTTACAGGGTTACAGGGTTACAGATTGTCCCACGAAACATGACATTTGATGAATAGTTTAAAATGTCTTCTTTCATAATTTGTTACGTTGTTTCATACTAGGAAGAGAATAAATATAATATGGGAGTCATATTATAGTGAAATTGATTTCAAAGTAGAACATATTTGAGTAAAAGATGTTTTTAACGAAATAAAATACAACATGGCTTTAATATCTAATATAGAAGAAGACATTCAAAACTATTCATCTACTGTCATGTTTCGTGGGACACCCTGTAATTCTTTTTTCCCTGTAATTGATCAGATGAAGGAAGGTCTTTTGAAATTATTACGACAATCCCTTTAATTAAATTAAAATTAGAATTTATTAATTTTTTGTTTGTTTTTAGTTCATTAAAGGCTTTCATTTGGGACAGTTCCAGGCTAGAGTATGAAGCAGCAAGGTAAAAATATTAGAAAAAAGAAATATCAAAATATCAAATTATCGTTTCTTTCAAATTTTTTATTATTTAATATAATAAAGGCGTGAAAAATGAAATTTTGTGAAAGCTTTTATTTTTGGAAGAAATTTCAAAAAATCAATATCTAGAGAATATCTAGAGAATATCTAGAGAATATCTAGAGAATATCTAGAGAATATCTAGAGAATATCTAGAGAATGTGTAGGGAATATCTAGAGAATATATAGAGAATATCGGAATAAAAAGAACAGAGGTTAAAACTTTCTTGCCAGAACAACAGAAGTAGTTTCTCTCAGATATCTCGTTGTTGGAACCCACAAGGCAGGGAAAATCAAAATTCATGGCCTGAATTAACTTGGGTGTACAGACATCTGTTTGTTTGAAAAAGGGACTTGCGCAATTCTCCTGAAAAGTGTTTCCTCAAACAACTCATTCAAAAAATATCTTTGGTCAATATTTTTGGTTTAGTCTGGTTAAGACAATATCTGGATCAAGCACAAGTTCCCGTATATGGTAATTTCCGGAGTAAGAAGTTTCACCTTTTTAATCCGTTACGTTTTTTCAGAGACTGTGATCTTATAACAGCTGGCGAGCTGTTTGGCCGGTCAGGTTACGGTGTCGGGCTGCAGAAGGGGTCACCTTGGGCAGACCAGGTCACCTTGGCTATTCTAGACTTTCATGAAAGTAAGATTTTTTTTGATTCATGGTTTAATATTTTATGAGCACTTAAAAGATTAGTTTATACTGTACAGGGTTTTCCACAAAGGATAAGACTGTACAGACGACCTAGGACTCTTTAGATCTGTTGATTTAAAGGTTAAATCAATATTTTCGCCTTAAATATAGGATTGTCACTTTTAATAAGTGGGCAAATAAGTTAGTTGCAAAAAATCGTATATACAGAAACTGTAAACGTTATAAATTCCGTTCAATCGTCTGTGAAGTCTCTTCCTTTGTGGTTTACCCTGTATCAAAGCAAAGTGAATAAATACTAAAGTGGACCAAACTCATAGTTGGATGACGACATTTTATGTCCCAAGTAAAAATAAATATGTATATATATATATATATATATATATATATATATAAATTGGTCTGTATATGGAGTGTACAGTACAACAGAAACTGGACTCCCTTTGTTTACAAACACAGACTTAGAATTTGTATTTAACTTAAATATAAGTTAACGTAAATTAAGATTTCAGAAGTGAATTTTAGCCATTTTACTGCACAATAAATGATTTCAGACAACACAATAATGCCTGCAAGCATAATCTGTAAAACAAGGAATGCACAATTTGTGATACCGAAAAATGAAGATCTTCGAAATATATCTCTTGGTCTTCGTTTTTGTACTTTGACAGATTTAAGAGTGGTTGAGAACTAGACATAGTTTTAAAGATATTAAGGGCTTACATTTCTTTTTCTTTTTGGGACGGGGGAGGCCGGCCGACCCCCCCACTGATCCAGGAGGGGGATGAGCCACCATAGCCCCCCCTGAATACGCCTCTGGATGATAACATAGATCTGTTTTCAGAAATTTACAAACATATTTTAAATGGAGTGAGATTTGAAACAAAACTAAGCAGTTTTAAAGATAAATTCCTTTAGAACTAGAAGTGCCAGGCAAAATCAATGAATTGATTAAGCGACTAAATAGTATTTACATATAAACTACATAGAAACGTACAAAAATTTTTGATTTTAAATCGTGAAAATTTCGAAGTTCTATCTGAAGACGACATTTACATGGGTCTTTAGTCTATTTTTTCTAGTCTTTACTTTCCAAACGAAATCTTTTCATGAAATTATTTCCAAACCAAATAAAGCCTTATGGCCCAACCTGTCGTCGTTTCCTTAGTCTGTTCCACTTTAGTATTTATTCACTTTGGTATCAAAGGGTGTAAAAAATAAGCTTTATGCGACTGTAGACGTAATTTCAATTGACACTTTATATAAAAAGTGACATTTTTGATTCACAACGGTTCCCTTTCTATGTTTGATGAACAATGAGGGAGATATCGTCGCTTTATTAGCTTGCTTGTTTGCTCAGCATAAATGGGAAATTCACTTAAATAGAGATGATGCACAATAATTAAATAGAGATGATGCACAATAATTAAATAGAGATGATGCACAATAATTAAATAGAGATGATGCACAATAGTTAAAAGAATCAATAATTAGAGAGAACTGAAAAACATGGATTTCCTTATAATTTTTAATCAGACTCAGTTTTTAAGGGTACCGTTGTGAATTGGGTTTGGTTTAAACGACTTTATGAATGCAAAGTCACTTGAGGAAAAACGCCAACAGAGGCTATTTCAATAACTATTTAGTGTTTATAATAAAACTGATGCATTAATGGTAAATCTGCATAAGCCTCAAAGAGATTTTCTCTCTGAATATTTCTTTTCCCGAAACATGATAAAACTATATAATGCAATTTTTCTCAAAATTGATTCTTCATGGATATAGATTGATTCCTCTTAATTCTATTTTCAATATCTTCGAAAATTTACCGATCAAAAATAACACGGTTTTTAATTATCACCTGAAATGTTAACTTATTGTGAATATTTTTATAAAATGAAAATTTACTTAAAACTTTAGTTTTCTACAGTTTAACCCATTGGGTTTTTTACTTTTATCAGTAATTGTAAACATACATAAATAGCCATGAAATATGCGGGAACAGTCTTAAAAATAAATATCTGAAGCAATCCATTATCAAAAGGTTTAGAAAACGTCATTTTTTAAATTCTTTTTATGTTTCCAAAGTTCTGGTTAAACTTATAGTCCCCATATCTTTGTAACATCATGGTGCTAACCTTGTTTCTCATATTTTGAATTATAAAAGGTTAGAAAATCATGTTGGAAAAAAGGATTTGAAAATTACATTACGAGGAGAGAATGAAATAAGATCATTTTCAACATTTTTATATTATTTTTATTATAAGTAACAAGAATTTAGTATGTTCCGAGCTACATCTGAATAAACTGAAATAGCTTCAAAATTAAAGGCTTTCTAGTTTGAAATAGGAACAAATTTATACATATTGATTTAAAAACTCGTTAAATTTTTATCTTAATAATTATTTTTTTATACCTTTTGTCTGGTTCACAGAAATCTTCTTTAAATATTTAAAAAAAAAAATTTTTTAACTTTATTTACTTTTTAACATTTAAGTACAAGCTAATTTTGATTGCTCAATTCAATAATTTTCATTCCTTTCCTATATTGAGAAAGTTTTATTTTTTTGCGCATTTCAATTTTTATCTAATGCTAACAGCTGTCTTTTTTTGCATATTTGTTTATCCACTAGAATTTTTTTGTAATATTTTAAATTCTAATAATCCATAAAACATGAGAAAACTATGAATTGTAAAAACCAAAAAAACATTTGCAAAAAAATAAATTTTCTTGTTCCCTCTGAAATATATAGAGACTGGATAATATATATGTATATTTATATGTAGGTAGATATATGGATATATGGATAATATATGGATATATATCTAGGTGGATATATGGAGAGACTGGATAATAAATGGATATTATCAAGCGAGGAGGATAATATTTGCAATGAGAAGGATTCTAACTCCCCCGCCACCCTGGGCCTGGAGAACATGATGGGCGTATTTATCCTAGTGGGGGCGGGTATAGTCGGTGGTATAGGTTTAATATTGCTGGAGATTATTTATCATAAACATAAAATGAGGAAAGTCGAGAGATCTGAGGCTGCCAAAGTGGCAATATCAAGATGGAAAGGAACGGTTGAGGTAGGTTTAGCAAAAAAAAAATTCAAATAATTTTGCGGTTGCATTTGCGGCTCGGAAGTTCTCCTTGTGAGAGGCCATCCGAGTTCCACCCTTCGTTGGACTTTGTTCCAATTTTCCTTTCATGACGAAATGAAATGAATTAATCTATTTTTACTGTTAAATGTTGATGTTGATTTATTTTGAGTAATCTCAGAATAAATCTGTTTGGAATTTCACAAATAGATAATTAAAACAAATTTTTAGAAAAGGGGATGGTAATCTCGAAGCTTTAAGCACAAGATATACGAAAAACAAATTTAAATATTAGAAATTCAAAATATTAATGTTCTTCTAAATACCTTATAAATAACAAGAGTTACAATTAAAAAATAAAATATCTTAATCTTACATGGAATTTACTAAAGCTTAACGTTAAATAATAAAAAATGTACTATTTTAGAAAAGAAAAACAATACGTGAATCTAAAGTTGAGAGAAGTAAGAAACAAACCTCGAAAACTAACGGAACAAGGTAGGATAAATTATAAACCATGGAAAGACGATAAGCGCCATGAAAAACTCCTGAAATACAAACTTCTGAAATACAAACTACTTAAATACAAACTCCTGAAATACAAACTCCTGAAATACAAACTCCTGAAATACAAACTCCAGAAATACAAACTTCTAAAATACAAACTCCTAAAATACAAACTCCAGAAATACAAACTCCTAAAATACAAACTCCTAAAATACAAACTCCTAAAATACAAACTCCTAAAATACAAACTCCAGAAATACAAACTCCTGAAATACAAACTCCTTAAATACAAACTCCTAAAATACAAACTCCAGAAATACAAACTCCTGAAATACAATCTTCTAAAATACAAACTCCTGAATAAGACATTCAGAATCTCTTTTTTTATTTAAAAGAAACATAATAATCTTTAAGAAACTTAAACAACCCTAAAACAATACGGATAATTTCATCAAAAAAAACTTTTAGATCACCAAGTAATTTGTTTTTAAGATAATAAATACTTTCATAGAAAACATTTACGATATACAAATCGATTTGAAAAAAAACTCAAAAAGATGGCTTACCATTAGGATTCCCAAACTCCATTTTGTTTCAGTATAATTCGAGATAACTTGTCCCTATCCTTCGATAATCTGACGAAGGGCTCGAAGGACTCGAGGTGGCAGAGGGTGACCCATCTAGTCCGACCACGTAGCACAGCTACAGGTAAAATACGCAACAACTAAACCAATAATTTCCCGCCATTTTATCTTTCTATCAATCAGTTCTGAAAAATATAAAGCCACGGCATTTAAAATTTGAGATAAAGTCTATTAAAGGGACAGACCGGCTATGTGAGGTACAGGGTGTCCCAATAAACATGGGAATTCAGTGACGAATACGATATCGTCTGTGCAATGAATTAGCATGTAATACCTAATTTCAAAAGCCATTATGTTTGCTAGAATTTATTTTATGAAAAGGGTAAATGGCTGAAAAGATGTGTCTATAATGTCTCCGCAAGATGAACAGTGAAGACGGACAAGTTTACTCTGTTTGTATACTGTAATTTTCTTGTTTTACTAAGTACAACCGTATGCAGTCAAAACATAAACAAACAAAATGTGAACATATAGCAGACGAAAATCTTACGGATTACAGCTTTCTCAGTGGGTATCAATATACTAAATCAAATAATTATTTTTAAAGACGCTATCGAATTCGTCACTGAATTCCCATGCTTATTGGGACACCCTGTAGTTAAACTGAGTATATGCAGTGTTGTGGACAAATTCTTTAGGATTCATTAAGGGCATATAAAACTTTTTCACGATGTATAATCACTGAATTTGAGTGCATAGTCGACGTTCAAAATCAAAATCAAAATTTGTGTGGGTACGTTTTCAGAATCGGTTTCTTAAAATTATTAATTAAAGACGACGAAAAATAAACTAAAATATATATATAGTAAACTAATTAGATGGCTAGGAGCATATTTCTCTACAGAAATTTGTCAATAGATCAATGCTAATATCAATTATTTTGTTTTCATCATTATACTGAATTTCTTATTTTTTATGAATTTATTTGCAGATTTCTACAAATTTTTCAAATGTCGTCTTTTCAATAATATTCCAGAAAATCTGCAGAAAATGATGAGATGATAAGATTAATTTTTATTTTTTCAACCTGTTCCTAAACAAATAATTAGTTTATTGTAGAATTTTGTTTTCAATTTTTGTCGTTACTATTTAATAATTAAGAAAAAACAATACTGAAAACGTATCACCCCTAAAGTACGATGTTGAACGTCGACTTTGTGCTCAAACTCTGGATTTACAGATCTTTAAAAAGTTTTATTTGTCTCAAATTAATCCTAAAGAATAGGCCCACAACACTGCATGCTCAGTTCAACTAACTTACATAGCCTGTCTGTCCTTTAAATGTTTATCTACCTTATCAGTCATCATATACATATTTCTAAACAATCCATTTAATCACTATGAGTTTCGATTTGGTTTAAATCAGATATATATTTACGCAATATTGTTACAATTTACCCTTTTTAGGTCTTTGCCAGTCCCCTTTGACTCCTCGATATATGAGAAGTCTTCCTAGCGCAGAGTTTTTGAGAATGGTTGAAAATATGGAACACCATAGTTCACCTATTGCACCACTTTCAGTTGATTTTAATAAAAAACGAAGAAAAAGGTATTATAATTGTCGTTATCATTGTCATTATCATTGTCATTGTCATTTTCATTATCATTATCATTGTCATTATCATTGTCATTATCATTGTCATTATCATTGTCATTATCATTGTCATTATCATTGTCATAATCATTGTCGTTATCATTGCCATTATAATTTTCATTATCATTATCATTATAATTGTCATTATATTTGTCATTATCATTATGATTGTCATTATAATTGTCATTATCATTATCATTATCATTGTCATTATCATTGTCATTATAATTGTCATTATAATTGTCATTATCCATATGATAATGACAATGATAATGATGTCCTAAAGATACTTCTTGAGGACGACCCCAGGGTTGCCTTAACTAAACAACAAAATATATCATTAAAAAATTTATTTACATTATTAGATATTAGTCAATTAATTATTTAAATATATTACTAGTATTATTATTACTATGATTATTATTGTTATTATTATTATTATCATTATTATCATTATTATTATTATTATTATTATTGTTATTATTATTATTATTATTATTATTATTATTATCATTTTTATTATTATTATAACTATTATTTATACATTGTTATACATGGGGAATAACAAAAACTAAACGGCAGTGACTCTTTCTACTTAAACATCTAAAGAAATAGATAATTCAATCTTTAAAAAAATTGTTTCAAAATAATTTTTAAAAATCATTAAAAATTGTAAATTGTAAAAATGTTCAGAGGTGTACTTTTACTTTTGAAAACAAAGACAGCATTTTCACAGCGTGAAAAATCAAGTCCAACTCAAAGACTTTACTGTTTTAATATATGTAACAGCATATAGAAGGGGGGGGGGGGGGTAAACATTTTTGTCTTCAGAAGGGAAAGTCTGGGAAAGAGGTAAAACTCACATAGTCTTGGTAAGACAACTAACACATGTGGATGAAATATGATATCGTCATAAAACTGAGGGTCATCTTGGTAAGACCTCTAACAGATGTGGATCAAATATGGGGGGAAAAGGCTAAAATGGGGATGGGACATAACACATGTGGATGAAATATAATATCGTCATAAAACTGAGGGTCGTCTTGGTAAACCTCTAACATATGTGGATCAAATATGGGGGGAATACACTAGAATGGGGATGGGACATAACACATGTGGATGAAATATGATATCGTCATAAAACTGAGGATAGTCTTGGCAGACCACTAACAGATGTGGATCAAATATGGGGGGAATACGCTAGAATGGGGATGGGACATAACACATTTGGAAGAAATATGATATCGTCATAAAACTGAGGATAGTCTTGGCGTCATGACTTGGCAAGACCATGTACAGATGTGGATGAAATCAGGAGAGGAAAAGGCTAAAATGAAGATGGAGGAACAAGTCTTTTTTTTTGACTTGACACAAGACCAATTCAAGACGTGGGGGAAAACAGAGATATTTGATGAAATTTGAGATTATTTTGGGAAAATTGAGGGTCTTGGGGATGCTTCTGGACGTCCTCAACCTCGTCCAAGACGCTCTCGTTCTTGCTGGGATGTTTCTAGTTTAAAAAGTGCTGAGTTTTGACAGTTAAATGCCTCAATATTGTTTCTCAATTAGAAATATGGACTGTGAAAGAGAAATCACAATTGAAAATTGAAAAAAGTCACCAGATCGGAAACAGACTAGACGGTTAACGTTCATTTGAAAATGAATCTTTAGTCGCTTTAATTTACCCAAAAAAAGTTTTAATAATTTATTTTCAGGAATCCGCCAGATAGTCCTGATATCCTGCAAAGGTGCACTCCGCCCCCGGATATAAACGAGGGCGTATCTGTCAACTCCCCCTCGGAGTATATATCCTCTGATTACGCCCCTGTATCCACGGACGGGTGGGTCCCACCAATAGAAAACCTGCCCTGTCCGCCCCCTCCACCAAGAAACAGACTAAAGAGTTACTCCGGTGCTTACCGAGGCGGACAAAGCTCTGTCTTGTCTCCGCCGCCATACAGAAGACAATATTCTGATAATAGTTATTCAGTAGATTCAGAGATTGTGTAGAGTACATGAGTATTGGCAAGTTGTATTTAATCGTAATCGTAGATACAGGGTCACCCACAAAGAATGAGACTGTTAAGACGACTTGAAACTCTTAAGATTTGACGATCCTAAGGTTGATTTAAGTCTTCTGTCCTTCACCTGGTCTTTGACTGGCATATTTAACGATTAAACAAAGAAGGAAACAAGTGTTAGTTGCATGGAATCTTGAATAAAAGGAAATAGACAATATGAATTTTGTACAGTCATCTCTGAAGTCTCATTCTTCGTGGGTAGCCCTGAATATGAAATTAGGTAAATTGGACAGCAAATCGTCAGTACAGTAACTGTGTCATGCTATTGTGTGCTTCATCTAGAAACATTTTGTACTGGAAAGAAAAACAAACGCTTGTTCTTGATTACAACCAGAGATAAGATAGTTACAGAGATCGATTAACACCTGTAGTAAGCGATATTTTACACAGCACGTTCTATTGTGTACAAGGACTGTACATGACCAATCAGAAGACATCTGTATTCAGGGATATTTAAGGATCCTTAGAATAGGAAATGCAAAATCTTTAAAAATAGACAATAGTCATAAACGTTATTTTTTATGTTTAAAATTGGAGTATTTCTTTAAAAGTTGTAAAACTTAACCCCTGAATGCAACAAATGTCCGTGAGATGTCAGTCAAAAAACATTACATCGAACAGTAGCATGGCCTCCCGGGACACTATACGCCTGCTCAGCCTATCCAGGCAGAGTGTATGAGCAGTCTGTGATTACAGCAAAAATTGGTTTCTGATGTACACAATGGCACAAAATTCAATTACACATTTTCCCAACTGTTCATTAGCTCTCCAATCTATTTAATTTTATATATCTATGATCTTAATTTATATGTATGTTTAGAATAATATTTAAATGTAGGAGTTTCATATAAATCGTAATGTGTAAATATAAAGCTATATATGTACAAATAATATGTATATATAACAATATATTTACATTCAGTGATAGCTGCATAACCCTGGTAGTCTTTTTAAGAATATTTTTATTTCATTACCCAAGTAGCCTTGTTTTGTTAGGATTGGTTTGCATAATCATATATTTTCTCTGAGATAAAATGCACAAAAACAATCATAAATAATTGATATATCAAATTTTCTTCTGACCGGCCCTCCGTTTAAAGAGGGTTATGCACAATTTACGACGGTGAATCCTTTAAACCTTTATCTTATTATAAATAATGTTTCTGTTTCAGAAAAAGTTCTTTTTCATTACAGAATTGTTTAAGAAATAAAAGAATAAAGGAATAAAAATTAGACAAATATCCCACAAAGAAAATAATATTAAAGGATTCTTTACAAGTTCTAATAAACAATACTTATTAATTATCATTACATTATAGAGTAGGTTCTTTTTTAAACCTAATAATTATATGATCTGTTAAGAAGTAGATACAATTCGACATTAACATTATGCTTAATTTACATTAATTTTGATATTCTTTAGATTGTAAAGTGTTTTTATTTTTTCAATGAGGAATTGAGTCTTTGTCACAAACCCTGATTATCTAATCCCTACAACTAATTGCAACCCAAAGTTGTAGACCCTTTATATTTCCAATTATCACTTTGTGGCAAAGATTCAATTCCTTGTAATTTGTTTAATATCAGATTAGGTCAAATCATGATTTATTTGTTTGAACTGCATTTGTAAACATTTGTTTTTATCAAATTTATTAATTGCTGTTCTTGTTGATATATTTTCTAACAAAGATTTAAATGTTTTTGCAGTGTGTTGTGTGCTCAATTTACAATTTTGTTTAGACAAAAAATATTGTTTTTCATCTTTTGTAACAATTCAAATGAGGCGCTGTTACTCCCAAGCTCCTCAATCTTTGCAAATTGGAATAAAAGACATAGGTCTTTAATTCGACTATTGTTCACAACAAATTTCGTGCAGGTTTGCATTTGGCTCTAAAAATTAAGAAATGAGACGTCACATTTTGCTACAGTCTCAGTTTTACATGGGATTTTACAGAAAAATGAAACCTTCACTAAATCAAAAAAAATTGCTATAAAAAGTGTCGACCCCCCCAAATTAAATACCCAAGTTACGCTTCTGTAATTCTAAATTTTAAATTTTTTGAAAATATAAGAAGGAATTTATATATAATCCAAGTATATTGCACAAAAATAACATAATTGTGACCATGAACAATAGTAGGCAATTATATCAACACAATGAAGACTACTTTCGAATTTAATTTTGATCTAAATTACGCTGTTAAACAGCATGGATGCATAAAAACATAAAATCATGAAAATTTATCATTCCAAAAAGCTTCTCTTTGATTACATGTAAACTTGTAATTAGATAAAAGCTTGTTAGTCATTAAACTTAAATAAAAAATTCGTCTTCATTATAGCGATATAATCGCTTACCGCCGTAAAAAAAAATGGGTTTAAAGGTCTGTTAGGGTAGTTGCATGTGGGACTCCATGTAAAGATGACAAAACCTGATTCACAACGGTACCCTTTATATCAATATTTATAATTTTGAAAGCTGATTATTTTCAATTGCTGGTACTGTTCCAAAGTGACTTGAGCATTTCTATACGACAGGTAAATCGGTTATTGCCATCTTTGCATTGAGGGTCACTTGAAGTTTCGTTATTGGTCCGGAGAACCCCGCCCCCCCCCCTTCCTTTAGTTTTTGCATTGTTGTATAAAATGGTGCTTGTTTGTATTATTATTTGTATTATCAGTTTCTTTTCAGAAAAAGGAAAAAATATGTTATTGCAGATTTTAATTCAAAACATTTAAAAGTTGTCAATTAGAATTTTAGTCGAAGATCGTTATAATAAATATTGCCATGTATACATTTAAAAATTAATGAACAATTGCAGTCATTAATTACTAGAATTATTATAATTACTAGCTTGGGAACCCAGCTTTGACTGGAAATAAAATGATAAGAAACAAGAAATAGTCGTAATTTTGATTTTTTTCGATATTTACTGTCATAACACAAGAAAATGACTGATGCTTCAATTAAATGCTTTGGTCGAACACTGATTGTGGCTTTTGGGAGCACTAGGTTTGTTTACATTGCTCCCAGACAGTATAACAGTATACACCGTTTCCGTTCATTTGAGCTGAACGCTCGTAACATACAGGGTGTCCCACATCATATTAGACCGAGAACGGGTCTAAATTACGATTTTCGGAACTAATTAGAAAATTTCATTTAATGAATCATTTTGAAAAATAACATAAGGCTTATATAAGAATTTTCTTGCGGAAAATGATAAGTTTTTCGAGTATTAAGGGTTTATTTTGGTGTTAAAGATTGGAGATAATCTATTATGATATGGGACGCTCTGTATAACTTCTTTGGTTCCTTTCACCCCGGACTAACATTCGGATTCTTTTATTTGAAATCAAACGTGTTTTGGTATATTCAACAATCTTTAAATTTACGGATATGTGTTTTCTATACTTTTTGATTTACACTGTAGTTGCCTAGATCAGTACTTAAAGAAGGGTCTACAAGCGTAATTGTAAGTATATAACCCTCCATACAGAGATGACAATGCCCCAGCATTCACAACTTAAAAACATTTTCAAACCTAAAATAATTTGACGACATCTTTCACATTTTTGATCAGATAAATCGGGCATTGTCATCTTTGCATGTCCAGGTTCATTTGAAATTACGTTTACAGTCCCTTTAAGTAATATATTTTGTTTACAAGAAGTTTAAAAAAACTACATTTAGCAACGCATCGATATATTTTAGGTTCCATCATAAAATAAAAGTAACAAAATGTTGATAATTAAACATAAATATTTTCATAAAATAACATAAATCCACAGATATCCAAGTTCTAAATTCGAAACAAGAAAAAACAGCTGATTTCAGAAGAATTGCAGCAAACGAGAACAGCTTTTTGTTTCCATAAAGCAGCTTCCAAGAACAGCTGATGAAGAATAGAAACAGCTTAACTAGCAGCAGGCTCACCCTCTGCTGCTCCCTGCAACAAAAGACAAGATTAGTCGTCTTTGCCGGACTATTCGTTTCTCAAAAAATCTTCTACCTAGGTCCTAGAAAAAAATCTAAAATAACACTAAAACAATTTTTGCTGTCTAAACATTTGTGTGAAAAGGTTTTAGGACTTTAAGCGTATTAAGATTAAGATTTCAAATAGAGAAAAAGTAAGTTATAACTTTTATAAATCTATTTGGATAGATTGATTGTTAAGGTAAAATGAAAAGGGGTATTGACTATTGACAACGATTAATATTAGTTCTATCTGATGTCCATGTCTCCAGAAAATGATTTAAAACTGTGTCGAAAACTCATAAATATGTAATTAATATAATCACTTAATTTTGTTAACATTTTCATTTAATTTTGTTAACATTGACATTTAATTTTGTTAACATTTTCATTTAATTTTGTTAACATTGTCATTTAATTTTATTAACATTGTCATTTAATTTTGTTAACATTGTCAATTAATTTAACATTTTCATTTAATTTTGTTATAAAGATATTGGGTATTAATCTTGATTTTATAATAAAAACACTGAACCCTAAAGATCTACTCTAAATGTGACTGTTAACAGAAAACCGACAAAAAATTTCGGAAATCTTGATGACTAATATTTTTCAAAAATTTTTAAACATTTTTTATCAAATATCAAAAAAAGACTTCTTAAATTCAATGCTCCGGATAAATTTTGTTTTTATTCAAATTATGCTTTTAAAAAACAAGAAAAATGTTTAAGTTTAAAAATTCCAAGTGAGCTTTGATTTGTTTCTCATTCTAAAATGAAAAAAAAAACATTTTTAAATTTTATTTGTCAAATTTTGATTCTTGACAAAATTCGACATTCATAGTTTTTTTAAGAAAAAGAGACTTGACGCTCTAATCTAAAATAAAGCATTTAAGAACTAAAAAACACCTGTAAAAGCAATGCATTTTAACAAATTCTACTTTCTAAAACACGAGAAAAAAATCAATGAAATTAAAAGTTTTTAAAAAACCCAGACATTTTTATTTTTATTTTCTAAATGTTTTCGATATAAAATGGTTTGGAGGTGTCTTGAAAAAAAGGTTCTAGCTAAATATATTGAAAAAAAAATAGTTTCTAAAAACCAAACGAAAACAAAAAGCTAAAAGTTTGGCCGTTTTGTGTGGACGCAATAGAGGAAGAGGCCCAATTACTGAAAATAAAATACACTATAGCAAAATAAATACCAGACTATGTCTTGATTATGCTTTAAAAAAAAGTTTAAAAGCTCAGGAATAAAATTAATAATATTTCGGCACAATACCGACTAGTGACATTGACAAATTTTATGTTGTAAATGATGAAAACCTTGAAAGAGAATAATTCTAGTAATAATTGACTGTCCTTGTCATTTTTAGTGACCGTCCATTTTAAGAGGGTCGAATGCTGAATTGACAACGGTACCCTTAAATCTTTATCTAATCCTTAATGTGGAAGATATCGTAGTGTTTTTTGCTTTAAAAGTATTAAATTCTCTCAATTTACTTCATGTATCTGGGAGAAAGAAATCCGCAATTCAGGTTTAGAGAAAAACAACAATTGAAAGGTAACCAAAGTTTTTAGAATAAATCATGGATCATTCGTTCTTATTCTTAATTAGACAACGTTTTTACGATTTTAATTGTGAATCGGACATGCCACTATTTTTTTAAATGAATTGTCACGTAAAATTACGTCTACAGTTCCTTTTTTCCGGCAGGCAGCATTGAACACGTGCCTGCAATGCTATTCAGTTTGCTATGTCGTCTTTTCTACCGTTCTAGCAAATAATTTTCCGTATGAAATAAAGAAATTTAATATGGTTTCCGAAAAATATTTTCCGGATGAAATTAAGAAATTTAATATGGTTTCCGAATAATATTTTCCGTATGATATACAGAAATTTAATATGGTTTCCGAAAAATATTTTCCGAATGAAATTAAGAAATTTAATATGGCTTCCGAATAATATTTTCCGTATAAAATACAGAAATTTAATACGGCTTCCGAATAATATATATTTTCCGTAAGAAATACAGAAATTTGATATGGCTTCCGAATAATATTTTCCGTTTGAAATACAGAAATTTTTTTGGGCTTCCGAATAATATTTTCCGAATGAAATACAGAAATTTAATATGGCTTCCGAATATTTTCCCAGATTTAGGTTTGGTAGGATGTGAAGGGAAAGGGGCGGGGTACAAAGAGAAAAATTTTCGTTTATCTTTGTTTGCGCGCCAGAAATATAATTTATTTCCAGGGGGAGGTGGTTAAATACACGGGGGGGGGTTGAGGACCCCATGATATGATTCACACTGTTATTACCTTAACCTCTCCCTCCTTCGCCCCTAGCGCCCAACCCGGTTTCTTTTTCTGAAATTGATTTGGGTTAAAATTTGTTTTTTCACAATAATCTGCAAAGTTGACTAATCTATTTAGAAAATCAGAGGTAGGATCTTTTGTATGGAACAGCACTAATCTGCAAAGCTAAACTAGAAATCCAAAAAGGGAAATGTTTAGGTTTTAACGTAACCTAACCTAACTGTAGTAACTTTGTAACTGTAATTTTAATTGACCAACCATGCAAAGGGGCCAATGACCGATTTACAATAGTTTACAATAGTTTGCAATAGTGTGTTCTCTCAGGCAGAGATATGTGTGTATAAACTTATCGAACCTCACTTGTCTGAACATAAGCGGGTTTCGATAAGTTTACAAAAACGTATACCTCTGTACTCGACAAACACACAAAGGTTTTTAAGGTATTGCTGTAAATCGGGCCTTGCCCTTTTTTGCATGAAGGGTCAATTTAAATTACGCTTACAGTCTCTTTAAGGTTCTTTGTAGATTCTTACTGGTCGGACTAAGATATCCAAAAGTTTTAGCTTAATCCTTTGAACTCCAAAATATACGGATTAGTGCTTTCTGGAGGGATAAATTGTTCAAACCTCAGGATTAAATAGTGTTATAATCTACCCACGCTGAACTCACATAATCATTTAATATTTATAATAATGCATATTGCGTACAGGCAAAAAGGCATTTAATTTAAAAACCCTACATTTAATGTTTGAAATAATTTCACAATTCCACCATTAATAAACATGGAAATTTTAATCATTGTGTATCTTGCTTTTAATTAAATGTAACAAATTCTTTTTTAAAACTTCTAATTTTTGCTGTAATGATTAACAACAAAAACTATACACGCTGAAAAGGTTAAAGTTTTCCAGATTTTAAAGGTTAAATACTATTTCTACTTTTAACTAAAAAGGTGAAAAACTAAAAATTTCACTTTTGTATCTAAATATCTGAAAAACTAAAATACTAACTACTATAGTACGACCTGTTGTAAAAGGTTTTGGCCGACTCTATGCTAGAGTACTTTATTTAAATCCCTTACATTTTGCCAAAATTGGGCGATTTCGCGGCCAAACCCTTTAATTTTCAGCAACAACGATACTTGCCTCAGCCTGTATCCAAAATATATTCCTATGTTAAACTGGAAATTTAAAAAAGAGAAAATTTTGGTGAAAAGGTAAAAAATGTATGTGGTGAGGGGAGTATGTCAGAACGCTTTAAAGTGTTCGGAGGGGGGGGGGGATTTTGATAAAAAAATGTAATTTTATTGAATATATGGCGTTACCCCTGCCTCATCATCTTCCATCGTAAACTCCTTCTTCTTGACAGTCTTCAGCTGATTTCTGAAGTTAAACTCGGCAGCCTTCTTCTGTAGTTTAGCAAACTTATTCTCATACTTAGAAACCTTCTTCAGGGTAGGCTTTATACTAAACAGGAAGATAGATAGATAGGTAGGTAGGTAGGTAGGTAGGTAGGTAGGTAGGTAGGCAGGTAGGTAGGTAGGTAGGTAGGTAAGTAGGTAGGTAGGTAGGTGGGTAGGTAGGTAGGTAGGTAGGTAGGTAGGTAGGTAGGTAGGTAGGTAGGTAGGTAGGTAGGTAGGTAGGTAGGTAAGTAGGTAGGTAGGTGGGTAGGTAGGTAAGTAGGTAGGTAGGTAGGCAGATAGGTAAGTAGGTAGGTAGGTAGGTAGGTAGGTAGGTAATTAGGTAGGTAGGTAGGTAGGTAGTTAGGTAGGTAAGTAGGTAGGAAGGTAGGTAGATAGGTAAGTAGGTGTTAGAGTCGGCACACTTGCACGGTCCAAACAGTACGTAGGCAGGCAAGTAGGTAAGCGGGTAGGTAGGTAAGTAGGTAAGTATAGTAGGTAGGTAGATAAGTAGGTAGGTAAGTAAGTAGGTAGACAGGTAGGTCCGTAGGTAGGTAGGTAGGTAGGTAAGTTGATAGGTAAGTAAGTAGGTAGGCAGGTAGGTATGTTAGATTCAATAAATGTACTTACAATTTTCCTCTAAGATCGTTGACAGCAATATTTAGTTCATTGATCTAGATAAAATGATTGATTAGGCATAATTTTAGAATATGAAATCACGTATGTAGAGAATGCATTGCATTTTTATTTTTAACCTTTTCCAATAGGTTTTTTAATGTATTCTTAAAATATGAATACTAGTTAGAAGACAAATATTTTTGCTAAATTACTTTGATTTTTTTCTTGTAGAAAACAGTGTCCGAATTTAATGAATTTAAGCCGCGTCTCAAATCCCCCAAAAAAACGGTTTCAATTGAGCGCCGGCTGGAATCTTGAAAAATTGCATGTAATTCTAAGTGAAACCAACCATAAAGCCGCGGTTCAAATTCTTAAAATTCGGCCTCAGGATCTTTAAATCTTTTAATTGAGAATAAAAACTAGAAAAACACAGCAATGCGAAAATTGAGTTCTTCAATATTCAACAATGTTGTATCAGTAAATTAATCTTGTATCTCAATTTTGGTTAAAGATTAAACCGATAAGATAATAATCGTTTAATAAAAAATATTGAATTTTAAAACTTGCAAATTAGTACAACTACACTACAAAAAGTTACTAGAACTAAGAATCTAAAATACTTTTAAAACACATGCATGAAATTTTAAGCATTATCAAAAGTTATTCAAATAAAGTTAAAATTAGATTTTTTGAAAATACAAAAATTGCTAAATTTATTTTTATTGGTGATGTCACTCTTTCATAAGATGTTCTACGGATACTTGACATTCAACTGTTATTTTTAATATTTAAAAACTAAAAAGTTACAAAAAACCTAGGATTAGTCACGTGCACACAATTTACACTTCTTCAATTTATTTTTTAGAGTTTAAACTGGTATTATCAGAACCCTAGGGAATATTTATAATCTGATTTTTCTTCTTCAAATGTTAAATGAAAAAACTTATTAGAAATCTATTTTAGAAAATAGAGGAAATTTGTCGCGTTTTTTCCCCACTTATCATTATGATAAAACTATTCTAGGCTATAGGTTCTTATAAATATTAACAAGTTTTCAAAATGGCTATAAAGGCTACGGGACTGATCTGAAAACCTCCAAACATTAGGAATTTAGATAAATATTTGAGGAGCAGGGAACTGGCAACTTGCCATGGATTCTATCCTTGGCCAGTAAACTTAAATGTCAGCAGAAACATTGCCTCGCTATATGCATCGTCCCACTTTCAAGTATTTAGGGGAAAATTCAGACTTTATCGTTGCAAAGCAAAGCTCGAAGGCGGAAATACTGAGCAGTCCCTTAGCCGTTAGCGGGTGTTTAATCAAACAAACAGGTTTGCAGCCCCCTAGACTTAGATCAATTCTAATCCAAGCACTTCGAGCCTCCCTTTGAGTCTTTGGGAGTCGGAGGAGGAGGAGGAGATTGGAGAATGTTAAAGGGACCGTAAAGGAAAAATGAAAGGGGGTATAGGTTGAAAGCTAATCACTTTAGCTCTTGATCGTGACCCATGAAAGTTTTATCTGATGTTCCTGTCTCGAGAAATTGATATACAACTGTGTTAAAATTATACGAAAATTCATATATGTAAAATTTTGAAAATCTAAAACTTAAATCACGTGACCAGAACTATCACCAATGGCAGAGCAGTATACTGGTCATGTGTCTCCGCCTGTGTCACGTGACCACTTTACTGCACTGCCATTGGTGGAATTTCTGGTCAAGTAATACGGACTTATAAATAATATTATGAATTAAATCTAATAAAAATAGAAATAACAAATATAAAATTAGATTTGGAGTAAATCTAAGTTACAATTAGCTTTCTCTGGGATATCATCGTTTTCAGATTAGTTGCTTATTTGCTGAATTTGATCTATCTAAACCCACTACTTTTATACAAAATTGTATACATATTAATTTTTGTATAAATTTGACAAAGTTGTATATCAATTTCTCGAGATAGGAACATCATATATAACTTTCATGGGTCGCGATCAAGAGCTAAAGTGATTAGCTTTCAGCCTATACCCCCTTTTATTTTTCCTTTACAGTCCCTTTAAAAGAGAGTATTTTGGAGAAAAATTAAGGAGGAATTTTGAGAAGTAACAAGGAAAAAGTTGGGCGATGATAGATGCGGGCAAATGCAGCCCCTACCACAGTATTGCATTGATTTGAATGGGGGCTGCAGGTTTTTTTTCTGAAAGGGGTCAGTTCCCAATCCAATACCTCGAAATCCCTTTTGCGCACTTCAAATTCCATATCATATTTTTGGGATTCACAGAGGTACATACGATCAAAGTACTCCTTACAAATTTGCTTCAGATGCTCTGAAAATTAATTTGTTAACATTTTTCCTTTTGGTATCCATGAGAGGAGGTTTCATGTTGTCCAGAAACTAATCTATCCCATGAAAAATCCATCCTTGTACCTCCAAAATTCTAATTTTCACCCCACGCTCGAGGTCCCACTTATCCCCCTCTAGTTTGTATATGATGTTATTGTACTCTTTACAAATTTCTACGAGGTCATCTAAAAATGTATAATATGTCTTTTGTGACCGACTCAGGGCTCATCTAAATAAATGTACAATCTTTTTAAACAAAGAGAGTAGAGATGGACGCGTTCAGGTTTTTTCATTTCAATTGCTCATCATCCATGAACGACCTATTTTGTTCGTTTTTTTCAATCGTTCACAAGAAATTGATTTAGTTCGTTATAAAAATTATCGTAAATTTTCCATTGATTTTTTTTTGTTTTCTCATTGAACAATCGTTCGTTCAGTAAAATTGTTCGTTAAAAAAATCGTTCTTTGAATTAAAAAAACGTTAAGCCCTTCCTTCTACACGTGTATTCAATTTATTNCCCGTAAGTTCTCTCAAACGATTTTAAATCGTTAGTTTTAGTTTTTACGTTCGTTTTTAAAAACGGTCGTTTTTTTCATTTATATGAAAGATACAGTCGTTCATCCATCGTTTTTTCTGAAAGACCCCATCGTTCACGAAAAAATTAGAACAGTTTAACGATTTAACGATGCCCATCTCTATCTAAACCTCGTTATGTAGTTTATATACATGATTAAATAGTTTGGTTTATAATGTTAGTTTTATTCACAAGTTATTCTTATATTCAATTTGGGATTTTTTTCTTTTATGTCCAGAAACATGCGCAAACATTTCAAAACTTTGATTATAAGTTGATTTACTTAAATATATTGACAAGAAATGTTTGCTTATTTTCAAGGGGTTTGCATTTTTCTCCTTTTTTTAATTTAACTAATCATTGAAAGTTAATTTAGTAATTAAAAAAGGGAGAAATTTCAAACTTAATTTGTACTGCATACCCTGTAATCTTTAAATTCAACTTCTTTTTCCATATCATACTTTTCAGACTCCAAGTTATTCACTTTGTCATAATATTCTTGACAAATTTTGATAAGAGAGTCTAAAAAAAAAAAAACGCTAAAACATGTGCATGAAGTTCATATACAAATTCACGCTATGTCAGCATGGAAGCAATACAGTTCATTTAAAACAAAGGAATTGAGTTTTAGTCATACAACAAAATTTTGTATTTCATATTTTTTTGGAATTTTAGTTAGTCAATTGAGTAGTCGTATTAAGATTGACATTTAAAAGTAAAATCACAAATAAGTGCTTCAAAACTCAATTCCAGGCACCGAGCTGAGTTGCTTGCAATGTTGGTGTCTTGTTTTAAAGAAGTGAAGGAAAAAATGTGAAAATGTTTGATCATGCTCGAAAAATCAAGTTTGTACAAGAACTGTACATAATAAAGTTCAGCATGGCAAGTATATACAATTCTAATATACATGGCAACCCTTGGTCCTGGGTACCTTGTGCTCTCTCATGGCAACCACATGTTCCAGATCATACTTTTCATTTTCTAGAGCTACTACCCGAGCATAATACTTCTCACAAACTCCACGTCTTTCCCCTTCAGGCGAAAAAGTTTTGATAAGACTTTTTTGGTTAAAAACTCGACATATCCCTCAAATTTTACGAAACCACCTTAAAATCTTATAGTTTATTAAATGTCAGCTAACTTCAAGACATAACTAATTTGATTCTAACTCGAGATTTGAGACAACATCTTCAGAATAAATATGAAATTTGATACTTCAACTGCAGTAAAGTAACGCGCAGTATATATCTTAAGTATACTTCACTAAATTAACCTACAGGGTGTCCCACGAAACATGACAGAAGCAGGACGACTTAAAGATCGTCTTTGATTTTTAAAAAATAGCGGCATTTATTTGTTAACCAATTTCGAAGTAAAGTTCTAGTCCTGGTATTCCTAAATATTGTCTGCCTTATTCAAGCTTTCAATATTACTGGAGATATTAAGAAGTTTGTTATGATTTCGACAATTTGAATTAATATATTGAAATCTGAACAAAATTCTTATTATCTCCAGTAATATTGACAGCATAAAAAAGGCAGACCACATTTTGGAAATGTCAGGACTAGAAACAATTCGCGATTTTTGTTTTAAGGCTTACGAACAAATGCCGGAAATTATTTCACAGATTAAAAACGACCTTCAAGTCGTCTTTCTTCTTTCAAGTTTCGTGGGACACCAGCTGTACATTACAAATATACCCTGATTTGATCAACAGTAAAAAAAAAAGAATAATTAGTACATAAATAAAAATCTTTCTACTACTTGAAACAAGTTCTCCGTGTTCTACAACAATCATGCTTTCTTTGCTTGTATGCTTTAAAGCATATCATAAAAACACTTAAATTGCTGTTGTGAACCAAATTCTTTGTATCCATAAAAAAGAATTTTAAAAATAAAGCAATTTATAAAATATTTGCTTTCCAATTGGATTTCTTCTGCTTGAATATGATAAATATGTGTTATTATAAACTGCTTGATAAAAAATAGCAAATTTTAGTCAGCTTTAGACATTTTGCTCTGGTGCACACAAAACCTTATTGACTGATAGGCCCTGAAAAATTGGACTTAAAAGCTGTGTCTAACAAGAGAGTGCTCCTATGCTAAACATTAAAATAATTAACTAAATTGTCATACCTCATAATCTTTAACCTTGACCTCATGTTCGAGGTCAAATTTTGTACTTTCAAGATGATATTGACGTGCATGGTATGTTTTGATGATATTTCTCAGCGCATCTTGCAAGTATTTAAATTTATCAAGTTTATACAAATATCTAAAACAATGTTATATTTCTGGTTAACGGGAGCTTACGCTTTTGGAGTGGCACTTTCTTTTTAGAATAGAAGGAGTTTAGAAGCATTGTCAGGGTCGTGGATTTAACATTAAAAATGTTTAAAAACTAATTTGGTAATGTCTTACTTGCTTAATGGTTCAGGTTAATTTTTTTAAGTTTTGTGTCTGTGATAAGATAGCTGTCCAAATTAGTAAAATAAATATTGATGTAATTCAAATTTTTTCATTAAACTTTTGGAAAAAGTTCTCACCTTCGGATGCAGATTCCAAATCCTTAGGCTGACCGCATCGCTCATCGATGACCTTCCTGCGCTCCATCGCCTTCCTCTCCTGCTCTTTCTTCAGCTCTTCAGCTGCCTTCTTACGCAGCAGAAGCTGAACACAAAATGGATATATTATAGAGGAATGAAAGTCGTCTTCCTCATCGAGGAAGATAAAGAAAATCCTCAAACTAGATTTTGAAAGAAAAAAATTATAAGACGCTTTCATCATTTTCTTAACTTTTATCGCATGAATAAATAAAAATGTACCTTTAGAATATTTTAATTTAGCTTCTGGAAATCATTGGATTAGATTTGTCAATTAACAAATATATCTAAAGGGGGACCAGAGGGGGGAGGAGGGGGTTCTTAACTTACCCTAAGTTTCTTCTTCCTCTCTGGAGTCATGAACCCCTTCTTAGCCTTCTTGCCGGCGGCCTGGGCCTCAAGACGGGCCCTGACCTCGGCCTTCTTCCGGTCAATCTCAGCCTGCTTACTATAAATAAATATAATTATACATTTTAGCATGGTTATTCGTTTTTGGAACTTTATATCCCTTTCTTTAAACTGATTTTAACAATCATCACTGAAAACCGAGCAGTATTTTTTCAATCACTCCTTTTAAATGCATATATCTAGGGCTACAAAAATTATAAACGAGTTGGTGAGGTGAAAATAAAGGCCAAGGCAACGCGACACTTTAAAGTCAAGACTGTCTAAAAAATTTGATGACAAAAATTCAGAGTTGTCTCAAGGAATGCTGTATATGTACTCAAGATTAATCCCAGTTAAATAAAAGCAGTGAAATTACTTCCCAATTATATTAGCTAAAATGCTAATAAACAGGGTGTCCAACATCATATTAGATCATTTATAGCTCAAAATAGTGATTTTATGGACTAGTCAGAAAATTTAAAAACAACGAATCATTTTAAAAAATGTATAAGGTTACAATAAAAGTTTTCTCGTAGAAAATACTAGGTTGCTCTAGTAGTATGTGCGTATTTTAGTGTTAAAGTTTGTAGAAAATCTAAAGATGAGCTAATTGCTAGTTTCCTTAAAGCTGAAGATGAGCTTATTGCTAGTTTCACATAAAGCTGAAGATGAGCTTATTGCTAGTTTCCCATAAAGCTAGAGATGAGCTAATTGCTAGCTTCCATAAAGCTGAAGATGAGCTAATTGCTAGTTTCCCATAAAGCTGAAGATGAGCTAATTGCTAGTTTCCCATAAAGCTGAAGATGAGCTAATTGCTAGTTTACCATAAAGCTAGAGATGAGCTAATTGCTAGCTTCCCATAAAGCTGAAGATGAGCTAATTGCTAGTTTCCCATAAAGCTGAAGATGAGCTTATTGCTAGTTTCCCATAAAGCTGAAGATGAGCTTATTGCTAGTTTCCCATAAAGCTGAAGGGGCACATCAAGGGTATTTTAAGATAAACAAGACAAAAAAATTTGTAGAAGATTAGAATTTTCCTCATTAGTTGTTGCCCTGTAACTTTTGCTTTTAAAGGGAGTGACTGGCAATGTATGGTATTGGAACTGAGAATGTAGTATTGTGGAGAATTTTTCTAGGATTCATTTGAGACATTGAAAACGTGATGTATGCTTACTGAGTTTGAGCGCAAATTCGACGTCCAAATTCTCATTTGGGTGGTAACGTTTGGAGAATTGATTTTTTTAAAATTATTAAACAACGACGACGAAAAATGTTAAAAAAAAGTTAACAGTAAACTAATCAGATGTTTAGGAACATATTTCTCAGTCGAAATTTTCTCAATAAATCAATGTAGAGTCAATTATTTCTTTTTCATCATTATATTTAATTTCTTATTCTTTATGAAATGTTTGTGGTTTTCTTAAAATTTTTCAAATGTTGCTTTTCCATAAAATTTCAGGATATCTACAGAAAATGTTACAGAAACCAATAACTGAATGAGATTGCTTTTTTTCAATGATAATAGTTAATTCTTATTTTCTCAACCGGTTCCTAAACAACTAATTAGTTTACTGTAGACATTTTACTACATTTTTCGTCGTCGGTTTTTTTTGAAGATTGAATTTTTGCTCTTGCTGAGCAAATATGCACCGTAAAAACGTCTCATAGGTCTCAAATGATTCCTAAAAAAGCAGTTTCAACATCATTATAATTTTCTTTTCCTAGCTATATATGTTTCTTCATTTTCCATACTTACATTTTGAATGAATAGCCTACACTAGATTTATCTCTGGCGTATGCTACATCTAAACTCTAAATTAAAATTAAACAACATGCAGTTAGTCAGCTCAAACCATAATGAATTAGTATAAAATAAAAAAAATCTAGTCTGTTGACTATAAATCCCTTTGATCAGGCTTCTTGTTTTCCCCCATTTTCGGGAATTTGCTGCCATTGTTTTCTGTTCATGTTTCGATCAACTTACTGTAGCTTCTTCCTCTGATCTCAACCCCAGAGAGTGTTTGTATTTTCTCTTAAACCAGGGTTAAATAAGAAACAGAGTAATTATCGTTAAATCTTAATATTTAGTGGAAACATTTACCCCTCAGTGCGAAATGGCTGAGACACTGTCATTTTTCAATATAGAAAATAAAGGATATTGTTTCTTATTCATATTCCTTGTATGCTTCTACAGCATCTTCCATTGTTGCCTCCCCTTCCTTATCCTCATTCTCATCTTCTTCTTTATCATCAGATATGTCTTTATCTTCATCATTTTCACTTTCATCTTCTTCTGTATCCTCTTCTTCATCATTAACATCATCAACTTCAGCATCGTCCACTTCAACATCGTTCTTAATTCTATCTTTCCCGATCATTAGTTTGTTCTTCATTATGTTAATATTCTCAGCTAGGTCCAAAGCTTTTTCATAATTATTTTTAACAGCGTCATTCTCAACCTCTAAACTGGTCTTAGAGGCGTTTTTGCCGATACTTTTAAATTTTCGATCGATCTTATCTTCAGAGTTGGGTTCAGATTTGATGATAGATAATTCAATCTTCAGTTCATCTTTATTTCCAGTCTGTGTATTCTCTTTTATATCTTTTTCAACCGATTCCTCAGTTTTATCCTCATTCTTTATATTGGGGAATATAACCTCATTTTGATCCTTGGATTTGTTGAGAGGATCGTTTAGTTTTCCAACAAAGTGTTTGATTTCTGTATTGATTCTTTGAATGTTCTTTTCCTTTGGTTCCTTCCTGTCTTCCCATTGAATCACTTTTTTCTCTCCGGACTTGATCTTCTTCGCGTTCTCAACGATGTTCTTGTCCTCCTTCTTGCTTTCTCTCTCCTTCTCTTTGTTTTCCTGCTTTCCTTCCTCTTTAATCTTGTTCTCTTTATCTTTCTCTTTCTTTTCCTCATCACTTCTTGTTGTGTTCTCATTTTTCTCTTTCTTCTGAGTTTCTTTTGTGTCTCTTTTCTCTACTTTCTTGCTCTCATCTTTTTCAGCAATCTTCTTTTCTCCTTTCTTCTCTTTACTTTCCTTTTTCTTGTTTTGAGTTGTTTGTCCCAAGTTCTCAAATGAGAAAGGGTCCTCTTCATCAATTCTTCATAAAAATAATATTTTTTTCTTTTTACATTAAAGGGACTGTACACGTGATTTTAAAGGAATCTTCATTAAAAAAGTATCTTGAAAAGCTTTGTCTGATTCAGAATAAAATTGGATCATTTTCATTTCTTGCTTTTCTATGAAAGTGGGAACATAGCCAGAATTAAACAGTTTTCAAGCTAGAAAACCGAATATATCTTCCACATTATTGATAAGGTACAGATTTAGAGAGTACCGTAGTTAATCTGGCGTGCCCCACTTTTTTCTTTTTTTTAAATTTTAGAACTAAACGACAATCCTTTTACTTTGCGATTTTTTTAATAGAAAAAATATTTTTTCAAAAAAAGATATAAAATTATTGAGTGAAAGTTATAAAAAGCTTCTTACTCCGGATAAAGAGTTGCTAATCGTCGAGACCTTTCTCTTCGTCGCCGTTTCATTCTTTCGTCAAGGTTTCCACCAACCAGGCAGCAGGTAAGTAAATAAACAAATATAATATATCATGCAGTTAGTGAAAACAATTCAAAGGCCGTGATTTAAATAATTTGGGAAAAATTAGCGTCAAAATTAAGTTGTCATTAAGACATTTCTGATTTTTCTGAGAGTTGAGTTCAATCTAAAACTTTTCAAATTTGACGATAAGACTTGAGACTAAGGGATTAAGACTCGATACTAAAAGTATTAGAACCGCGGTCTGAAAACAAGAAGAAAAAAACACAATGGTTAGAGAAAACAAGGATTTCTGAACACAAACTTACTCTTCGTCCGACATCTTGATTTCTGTTTACGGCTGAGTTCTAAAAGATTTAATCCTTAAAATTTTATTTCCTTTTTACATTGTGCATAATCTGTATAGCCTGTATCCTGTGTGTTATCTTTATATCCTGTATCCTGTGTGTTATCTATATATCCTGTATCCTGTGTATAATCTGTATCTCCTGTATCTATTGTATCCCCAGTATCCCCTTTATCCTCTGTATCCCCTGTATCTCCTGTATCTCCAGCATACTCTGTATCTCCTGCATACATTGTATCTCCTGTATCCCCCATATCCCTGTATCCCCTTCCTGTATCTCCTGTATCCTGTGTATAATCTATATCCCCTGTATCTCCTGTATTCCCTTTATCCTCTTTATCTTCTGTATCCCCTTTATCCTTTGTTTCCCCTGTATCCCCTGTATCCTCTGTATCTCCTGTATCTCCTGCATACCCTGTATCTCCTGTATACCTTTATCTCCTGTATCCCCTGTATCTCCTGTATCCCCTGTATCCCCTTTATTCTCTGTATCCCCTGTATCTCCTGTATCTCCTGCATACCCTGTATCTCCAGCATCATCTATATCCCTGTATCCCCTTTCTCTCCTGTATCTCCTGTATCTCCTGTATACCTGTATCTCCTGTATCCCCTATATCCCTGTAAATCCTGCATATCCTTTATCTCCTGTATCTCTTGTATCTCCTGTATCCCCTGTATCTCCTGTATTCCTATATCCCTGTATCCCCTCTATCTCCTGTATCTCCTATATCCCTGTATCCCCTGTATTCCCTGTATCTCCTGTATCTCCTGTATCTCCTGTATCCCTTATATCTCCTGTATCCCCTATATCCCTGTATCTCCTGTATCTCCTGTATCTCCTGTATCCCCTGTATCTCCTGTATCCCTATATCCCTGTATCCCCTGTATCTCCTGTATCTCCTATATCCCTGTATCCCCTGTATTCCCTGTATCTCCTGTATCTCCTGTATCTCCTGTATCTCCTGTATCTCCTGTATCCCCTGTATCCACTATATCTCCTGTATCCTCCTGTATCCCCTGTATCCACTATATCTCCTGTATCTCCTGTAACCCCTCTATCCCCTGTATCCTTTGTATTCCCCGTATCTCCTGTATCCCCTCTATCCCCTGTTTCCCCTTTATACCTATTATGAGCCAGGTTAAGGACTGACTGAAGGAGGTTTAAGGAGGTGTAGGATGTAGGAAAGGCAGCAGGTAGGAGAAGGCAGGATCCCCCTGAATCAGCAGAATCTCCTGAACAAGGTGCCAAGAGGATGAAGGGTCCCAGGAATACATTTCAAAGCAAAACAAGGATTTTTTTTAGATTTTATAACATTCGAATTTTAAAACGAGATTTTAATTTTATCTTTTTTGCAAAAAAGTCTTGTATCATAAAAAATAGTGATCATAGTGTCACGTTAATATAAAGTAGGGTGTGGAAATATTTATAAATATCTAGTTTTTCTTTTGCTTTCAATAAATGTCTAGTTTTTCTTCTTGTTTTCAAGAAATGTCTTGTTTTTCTTCTCCTTTCAATAAATGTTTATTTTTTCTTCTTGTTTTCATTAAATGTCTAGTTTTTCTTCTCGTTTTCAAGAAATGTCTAGTTTTTCTTCTTGTTTTCAATAAATGTCTAGTTTTTCTTCTTAAGTTTTCAAGAAATGTCTAGTTTTTCTTCTTGTTTTTAATAAATGTAGTAAGATTTAAATATTCATATTTTCAAGGGTCCAAACCTGGTTTAAAGTTCGTCCAGAGTCCAAACCTGGTTTAAAGTTTGCCCAGAGCCCAAACCCGGTTTAAAGTTTGTCCAGAGTCCAAACCCGGTTTAAAGTTTGTCCAGAGTCTAAACCTGGTTTAAAGTTTGTCCAGAGCCCAAACCTCATTTAAAGTTTGTCCAGAGCCCAAACCTGGTTTAAAGTTTGCCCAGAATCCAAACCTGGTTTAAAGTTTTTCCAGAGTCCAAAACTGTTTAAAAGTTTGTCCATAGCCCAAAACTGTTTAAAAGTTTGTCCAGAGCCCAAACCTGGTTAAAAGTTTGTCCAAAGCCCAAACCTGGTTAAAAGTTTGTCCAGAGCCCAAAACTGTTTAAAAGTTTGTCCAGAGCCCGAAACTGAATAAGGAGCCCAAACCCCTAGTTTATATTTATCCTGCTCTCTCTCTCCCTCTATATACATGATTCATCTATACCTGGGCAGATGCCCTTTACCCTCAGGGATTATATTTACAAATACTTAGATTTTTCTAGAAGTTGACCTAATTTTAGGAATTTAAATAACAATACAAATTCGATTGTTTTTAGATTAAGGTTTTTTCTTCAATTTATTAAAAAAGGACTTTAAAGATAGAAAGCTCAAAAATCTGGCTGCTTGAAAGTGCGCTGCATGTCCTTGACAGATAGATACATCTACATACAGAGGACTTAAAAATGTAAAAAATGAAAGAATTCATACAATTACACTGCTGTTACAATCAGGATAAAGGAGAATGAAAGTCGTCTTTATTCGATCTTTTTTTAAGATAAAGCTTAATATTCTCTGAACATGTTCATCAGCAACTTGATTTAATGAATAGCAAGAAATAGTAGAACCACGCACCTCCGGTTCATCAAGTTCTCCTGTGCGCCGAGTCAAGAGTTTAATTTTATCAATTTAAACATTTCATTAAAGGGAGTGACCGGCAATGTATGGTAGTTGACCTAAGAATGTAGTAATCGATGACTACTGTTTGTAATATCTGAATGATTTGTTTGGAATTGATTTGTTTACGATCCGAGTTGAATGTTGCATCTTTCCGAATTTGTATGGACGTTGCGTTCTTCGGTGTGATTCGTTTTAAACAATTTTCTTCTCATAGACGCAACAGATAGAAGTAAGATTTGTAGCGATCAAAAGCGCTTTTTATCGCATTAAGCCTATACCTTCTTTCATTTTTCGCGAACACTCCCTTTAAATCTCTCATAATTCAACTCGGATCGTAAAATAATCAATTTAATCCAAAACAAATCACTCAGATATGACAAACAATAGTCATCGATCATTTTTCGACGCATTCATATATAGTTAATATTTCATAATATTTTTGACTTTGTTTTGAAATAAAATTTCGCTAGCGTTGGATCTTCGAACATTCCTGGAAAATATGAAAATGTCGAGTTAATTATTAAAAATCCTAGAAACAGGAATAAATGTTTTCCACTGTAACTCTCAGATCATGAAAAATAAAAAATATTAAGAAATATCAACTATATACGAATATGTCGAAAATTATCGATGATTATTGGTTGTAATGTCTGTATGATTTGTTCAGAATTACATTGATTTTTTTACGTTCCCAGTTGCAATTTTCTGAATTTTTATGGACAAGAGATAGAAGTAAGATCATAGCGATCAAAAGCGCTTATTTTTCGCCGTAAGCCTATACACCCCTTTCATTTTTCCCGAACACTTCCTTTAAAACAGTTTTGAACCAAAAAATCTTCTTACTATTTATTTCACACTAAACAGAAAACGAGTAAATTATTTAACAAAATTAATAAATTATCACTAGTTTACAAGTTTACAAGGGTGATATTAATAATAAAAGATTATATTTATTTACAATGGTTCTAGGGGACATTTAAATTTAGTCGTGTTCATCTTACATGTACATTATTTTAATTGCATATTTTAGTTATTCAAGATTGAAATATGTTCAATTTTACTAACTCCTTTTTTTGGCAATTGTCAGTTTTTAACATTTAAACTGGAGATAATTAAAATAAAAAATGCAAAGGATTCAATGATAAACATTAGTTGAATATAAAGGTTGGTTAATGGGACTGTTGACATAAAATATATGACCTTCCATTTTTAAAGTGGCATGTCGGATTGAGTACGGATGAATAAATTAATGAATGAATGAGCTATCCGAGATTATATCTCTTCGATTGTGGTTTATAAGTAACTTACTGAAATCTTCTACTGGAGCAAATGGAGGAAATTGTCCGAATTAAACACAAGATAGAAAACCGAGGATATCTTCCACATACACATTATTTAAATGGCATTGTCGTAAATCATTTTTAAGAACGGTCCCTAAAATGGAAACAGTTTTTTATTGATTCTTTTTGGAGGATTTACCACCATTGGATTTAGCACCAGACTTCTGAGCAGGGGGTTTCATTGGGTTTGGTTTGGTCGGTAGCTCGTCAAACTGACCGCTAACTTCTACATTTACTGGGTCATCCTGGAAATAAACACAAAATATTTATTAAAGGAGGGTTTTGCCGAGGTTGTTTATTAAGGACAGATACACTGGTTGCTATGAAGACGACATTGGAGCGCATCCTGAGTATCTAACCTCAATATACAGTCTTGGGGTTTGCTACAAAAACCGGGAAAAGATAGAAGAAATCATTTGTTTTGTAAAAAAGCAAATAATTTTAACAATATCTTGCAAATTGACCTAAAAATTGCTCTTAACTACGATGGTAGGTGATAATACCAATATAATGAAGACGACTTTTTTACTAAGGTTTACAAACTTTTTTCGAATTACAAGTTTACAAGTAATTAAAGCGAAGCTTTTTTAATCGACAGCTTCTCTTTCAGTGGCGCCCATAAGGGGGGTTATTGTGGTTATTTACCCCNCAGCTAGATATCAATCAAAATTGATATCGAAAGTCGTCTTCATTGTATTGATATGATTGTCTACCAGTAAGAGTAGAAACCTAAATAGAGTGGCATTCACTTAAAAAGTGTTAACCCGCCATTTTTTTTTTTTTTATTGTTTACCTTATGTTTATAGTACTGCCAGTCCACCACCAGCCGGCACATTAACATAAAAAAGAAGACCAGAGAGGGCGCCATTCGTTCAAACTAAACAAAATTGTATTAATCATTTAAGAAATAAATGCACGGCACATATGCTTGCCTAAAAGTGGATTTACTTGGTACACTTACAAAAGTGTATCACTTTTTGAAAATGTGTTTATTTTTTCCAACATTTAAAATGTTCAAAATCTGGAATTGAAAACGAAAAAAAATATCCTTAGCTTCATACATATTTAGTTTATCCTCTTATGAAGTCAAAAACTTTTTTATATTTTTAAAATAAATCAAGTTTGGTAACAAAAGAACTGTTTTTAAAAGTTGTTTTAACTTTTTAAGTTAGATCTAACTGAAAATTAAACTTTTAACGGCATTGCAAAAACACACTTTCTATTTTGAGAAAATTTTTCGTATTTGTATTGGATAAACTGCAAAGGATGAGGCTTTAATGATGAATCAAAAAGGAACTTAACGCAGAAAACATGCAGTACTATTTTAGATAGAAAATGCAGTACTATTTTAGATAGAAAATGCAGTACTATTTTAGATAGAAAATG